TAGACTTACTTTCGTTTGAAAATATTTTAATACAATATGTCGACCAAATAATTGAGATAATAAATAACAAAAACTTGCACCCAATGATGAACATAAGCAGACAAGAAATAATGCCAATGGAAATGGATATAAAAATCCAGCTAATATACTTAAAAATATTGAGCCTGGTATTGCAAATGTTTGTAAGCTAAAATTTTGAAAAAAATAATTTTTTGAAGAAATAATATATTTTATCTTACAAAATGTATGTGAGAAAAAATGCAATCATTATTATATATCGGTGATGTTTACTGTATTTGTATAAAATATTACCAAGAATCTTTGCATCATCAATTGTTTTTGGAACTTTAAATGCTTCTTTGTCCGCTCTAAATAATATATGCAAAACAGTTTAGAAAAATATTTACATGTTTTATACATACGTATCTATTTTTGGAAATAATATATATACAGTACATAAACTTAATATTGAAAAAAGAAATATTAATAGTAAAATTGCAAAATGACGACGTTTGATACGTCCACTTTGAGGATTCATTAATTGTATTGAAGTCGACACATTTTCATTCATTTTTACAGAAATATAATTTTCATTGATTTGTTCTTTTGTATCTAAATATTAAATAAAATAAAATAAAATATTCTATATTATTTAATAAAACTACCTGGGGTTGCAATCGAATGATCACCTGATGAGACAAACATGCGTCTGATCACAAGTGTGTCTTGTCATGAGAATAACATAAATTTATACTACTGACACGTATATACTCCGTCTATATTTCGTTCTCTTTTTCTTTTTCTTATAAATGCATTAGAAAACCGTGTACCTTTTTTTTCTTTCTCATTCTTTTTTCTTTAGAATATTGTCGATGTTTGGTTAGTTTTTTACAAGTAATATTTTCTTTGCCAAAATAAACACATACCACTCGTGCGAATAGTTTTTTCTTAAATATTTCTCAAGAAGAAGAAAAGTACTTACTTATATTGATAATTAAATTCTTCTTTTTTTCTCTATTTGAAAATTCAGATCTAGAAAAAAAAGAGATTACATTCAACATATGTGTTTACTTTTTTTACATTGATATTCATTATACCATAGACTAGTTCACATAGTTTAAGGAAAAGGAAACAACTAAAAATAGACCTATGAAGAAGAAACATTTAAAAAATATATAAATATCTAATTATATGTATTTTCTACTAGAGTTAATGTTCCTTGTATCCTGTTCTCTAAATTAAACGTTAGATATAGAACGAGCGAGAAAAAAAAATAGAGAGAGATCAATTGACAAAAGAAATAACGAACTGTTGACTGTATGTATAAAAGGCTTTGTCATGGAAGAGTGAGAAGAAAAATTTACCAGCTGTTAAAAGGATGAACATTATCGACATCTATTCTATATATTGACATATTATACTTTAATTGGTTTTCCGAAGAGAAAAGAAAATTCAGATGAAAATAAAAATATATTTATATATCTAGTTGATCTTTTGAATATTTTACGTTACGGTTTATAATTTGCTTTGAATCTTAACCAATCACGTCAACTATATTTTTAAGAAAAATTTAAATAATCATTATTTTTAAACTGAATCGATAGAGTTTTATTGAACATATGTCTCGCTGAAATTATGCTCATATTTACGTCCAAACACACCTACTCTTCGTTTAATTCATCGATAGATGCACTTAAACTCGTTTTTAGACAAATATTTAAAAGCATCCAGATGCGTCTATATTAATTAATAGTCTTCTCTCTGAATGTGTTCAACAAAAACGTCGAAGACGCATTAACTTGCATTTCTAACATGATTTAATACGGAAACACGTCAGAAGGTCGCCATTTACTGCAAAAATAGATCTAGTTGTGTTTCGTAATTACATAGCACATTGCTTACAAAAATAGGGTTAAACTAAACTAAATACTTTGATTTGTAAATTGTTCAATAAAAATTAGTTATTGTATTTAAATTTCTTTTTACTATTTGTAAATAGATAATGACCATATTTTTACATTTTTATATAGAGTAATCATATATATATAGGAGATGAAAGAACAATACATCTTATTCTCACTGAGTATGAGTGAGTGAAAAATGATGTATATATCTTTGTTCTGGGTTAGTTTTTATTAAACATAAATATAATAAATTGCAACATTTGAAATCAAACACGAAGCCATTTACATTAAAAGCAATAGTTATTTTTTTTTTTGTCTAAAAATGCCTTTAAATAAGTACACATGCTCGACTACGTGTTTGTCTATTGAATGATTTTGCTGAATCTTGTTGGTCACTAATAACTTCTCCTTGTCTCATTTGTTGTTCAATGTTAAATGTAGGTTGTTTAGCTAATGAATCTTGTAGAAGACGTGATGCAAGATCATCAACTGGAATTGTTTTTACTGGAACAGGTATTTGAATAGGTGCAGCTGAGATATTATATTCAGGGATTGGTACTTGTATAACTTCATCTACTATTGCTGGCGGGGGTGGAGGTTGGTATTGTTGTTGAGGAGGAGGTTGATATTGATGTTGATGTTGAGGAGGAGGTGGTGGTGGTTGAACATATCCATTTTCTTTTGGTGCTTGCGGATGAGGATTTTGTACGTTTCCACCTTTAAGAACATTTGTTTGTTTTTTCTTTGCATCTTCAGTGTCTTGTTTTTTCAATGATTCTAAAACGGCTTGAAACGGACGTGTAAGAGCTTTACCCGATCGATCTTTCTTATTTAATACAAAATATGTTCCTATTGATGTATTTGTATTTACCGCCATTTTCGGACGTTCTTGAACATCGTATAATTTACGATCAAGTAGTTTGTATGTTGAATCACTGACATGTACGTGTAGTGCCTATTAAACAAAGAATAGAATAATATTAATATAACAACAAATTGATATTTTTAGAATATGATGTTCCTTTCTTATCTATTTATATCTTATTCAATTTAGAAATTAGAATGCTTAACAGATCTCGTTTGTACGCATCTTTGAAGGTCACTTATAATGAATAGCTTACTTTACTATTTTGTTCTAATTTATTTGCTGTTGTTACTGTATCACCAAAAAGACAATACCGTGGCATTTTAATACCAGCTATACCCGCAACAACTGGGCCACTATGACAACCAATACGAATCTTTAATTTTTCACCATTTGTTGGATTTGATACTGTTACAATTGCATCAAGCATATCAAATGCCATATCAATAATTTCAGCTGCATGATTTCGTGCACCTAATTTTGAAAAAAAATAATTATATTGAATTGAATTTAAATTAAACAAAATCTTACGTTCTGGTAAACCACTAACTAACATATAAGCATCACCAATTGTTTCAACTTTATAACAATTATGTGTTTCTAGACATTTATCAAATTTTGTATACATTTCATTAAGAATAGACACAACTTCCATTGGAGTAAGTAATGCACATATTGATGTAAAACCAACAACATCACTAAATAATATTGTACAACTTTCGAATGTCTAAATACGAGGAAGAAGAAATTATTCTTACGACTAAATATTTTATATAATCTAACCTCGCAAAGACTCGCCGCTTTTTCTCCACTTCGTAGTCGATCAGCAATTTTCTTTGGTATCATTTGATATAAAAGTAAATCAGTTTTCTTCATTTCAATATCCAATTTTCTCATACTATCTTCTAATGCTTTACTTTTTTGTCGTTCCTAAATAGATCAAAAAAAAAGTATAATATTTCAAAATCATTTTTATTCTTACTTGATCAAGTGCTAATTTAAGTTCAGCACTTTGTTGTGTACCAGCTAATACTAAATCTCGACTAGAATCGTGCATAGATAGATCATTAATAAATAAACCAGTATTAAACATAACATCAAGATTTTCAAGACTAAAATTTAAACAGATACACAGTTAATGACAAAAGGTTTCCGAAACTATTATTATTTTCATATTATTAGAGAAAATGTTCGATCTTGAACAATTAATATAGGACTATGTGACATGATATAGCATACTAGGCGAGTAAGATTAACGATGAAATTAGTATGAGTATCTCCGATCGGACTACAACTTGAGGGTATGAATATTACATTAACCTTACTCCAACGCACCCACCCACACCCACACCCTGACTAGAATCGATAACTTAATATTTATCAATTATTACAAGACTTCTCTAACTTACACTGGTGTTGCTAAATAAATAATTGCTTTCCATTCATGAACATATAACATTTGACCTCGAAGACGTAAATATTCTTCTTTTATATCGTGTTGAGCTGTTATAGTTAGAAGCATTTCTTTAAAAATAAAAAATTAATTTTTTCGAATAAATTCAATATTATTGTTATTATTTTACCAGAATCATTTTGTTGTCTTGCATCATTTATTAGTAAATCATTTTCATTATTTTGTTTACGTAATGGTTCAATAGTTGAAAATTCAAAAACATTATTTGAATGTAAAACAATTTGTGACCAATTTAATGTTATAATAGGTCTATGAATTAAAAAAATTATTAACTGAAAAACAAAAAAAAGCAATTTTTTTTATTACCGAACAAGATTGAATATGTCACGAATAAGTTCACCGAGAATATTTGGAAATAATTGTGTTAAAGAATCTCCAGCTGAAATAATTTCTAATGATTCTGATATAACCATATGAAATGGAAATAATTCAAAAAAAATATGACAATCAATTGCTAAATCAAGATCAGATGAATCTTTATCTGTTGTTACTTGTTTAACATAGGCAGTATTTTCAAATTTAAGTTCAAATACAACATGTGTTACATCAAATTCTTCTCGTTGACTAATAACATCAATTTCAACAGCTGTATCATAAAATCGACGTCCAACCTATGAAGAAAAATTTATTTTTTCATATTATAAGAAAATTTCTTTAAGACAAACCTCAGTTATTTGACCAATAACATAATAAACAAAACCACGTCGTCGACTACGATAATGAAGTGTTAAACCTTGTGCTGTTTCTTTTTCAACATAGAATGATGGTGGACGCATTCGAGGATATGTATAACGCATATATTCATGTAAATTATCCAAACCATTAAGAAAATCTCGCATATTATGTCCACTAGTTAAAAAAGAAAATCATTAAATTTTTGTTTTTATTAAAAATAAATCATACAGAATTCGTAATACACGATCATAACCATAATTTGATATATAAGAAACAAATTCAAGACCGAATAAATCCATAATTTCACCGATCGGTTCATCTAAAGACAATGAAAATTTTATTAATAAAAAAAAGTCAATGTCTCAAAAAACTGCTTGAAAACACGAAAAAATGGGTACATGTCTTTTTTTTCTACTAAACTAAAAAAAATGGAACCTCAGTACACTTCTGATCTTGACGCTCTACCAAACGAAAAAATATATGAGACTTTATGTTGTACTTTGGCTGAGTAATCTTGAAAACCGACTTTCTGAGAAAAACACAAAACAAGTTTTGCGAATGAGTGTGGATTAGGGAGCTTCAGAGTATTCCGAAACCCGATTATGACTCGGACTTCATCGGAGTTTGTATAACATAATTTTTCGGAGTCGAAGTCGGGTTTCGAAGTCAAAAAAGTTGACTTCGCAGGTCTCTAGTATAGATGTAAATCGTCTTATCTTTTTTATCCTCACCCACACCCACCCCCTCAAATGGGGCTTAAATATTCAAATCGAACTGTATAGGTTTTATCTAATTTATTCTTCGTATTATTCGATAATTTACTGAAGTTTAAAAAGCCCTAAAAAAAATTTTGGCAAACTGTTTAAGTTATTTAATACTTAAAACATACAACTGTCTAGTCATTAACTGATAAATTATGGATTATCTTAATGAAAAATATTTATACATACTATGCATTTCACTTAAAAGTTTTGTAATTCGCACCATTAATGTTTCACCATATTGTTGAAATGCTGAAAATGAATTCAGATCAAGATGAAGTGCTGTTTTAATTTTTTCCCATGTTTCTTGTCCATATTTTGCTCGTATTATTTCAATAGCTGATTGTAATAGAAGACCGTACATTGTTTTCTTATTATTATTATTGTCTTATTTACCAACCATACTTTCTGTTAATATTGATAATAATAATGCAAAAGAAAAAAGAAGAACTCAGTATGATACAAAAACAGAGAGAGAGAAAAAAAAGAGATGATAGAGAAATCACGCATGTTAGACAAAAGGAAATACGAGGAAATGGAAAAAAAAATGAGAGAAAAAGATTTACGAGAATAAACTATCCATGGAATAGGTAACGAGTTATTTTAGTAGTAAACTCAAGACGTAATCATGATTCTAGAAGTCTCAATAGATATTTAAAAACCGAACACGCAATACTAATGGAAAAAAAACAGCATGAATGAACATGACTACGAATGGAGTCAAGCAGGTACGAACTATATCATCTCAGTATATACATATAAAATATTCAGTTTCTTCGATACATAACTATTTGAATGATGAGACTGGATCGTACTATTCATACAAAGAAAGGACTATTTTATTTTGAAAAACAAACAATTTTTCAGTTCAATAAATTCAATCACCAATATCATGAAAAAAACAGATCACCTAGATAAATCAGATAACACATCAATAGTTAGCACTAAAGTAAAGATAAGGATAAAACGGATATTAGTTTCCGTTTTCAATAAGTGACTACATGCTTCAATACCTATTGCATTGTTCACTACTATTGAAATTCTATTCGTGCGCATAGACTTATTAACATTTTGATTATTATTCTATCCATATATAACTTATTTTTTTCACTTGCATGATTAGCTAATAAATGAAAAGATTCTATATCTTTGATGAAAAATCGTTCAGCTGAAAGAGACAGTGAGATGTGAAATGATGTTTCTTAACAATTTTTGATTTAATGCTAATACGGAATGACCTTAATGTAAGCTTGTTTTTCTCATTCATTCTATGTAATCAATCTACTATGCTTACTCAAAATTTTAGTAAGTCATGAAAAATGATATACTAAATAACCTATATATACCCAAAACTTATTACACAATGATAATTGACTAAATAATTTCAGTATGTTCATTGAGATATTTCGTTTTTGAATAGATCATTGAAGTTTTTGAGCAAATATCTACTGAAGATGATGAAATTTTCATTAGCAGGTACACAGCGTGAAAGCTTTTCTATAATAATAAATATAGAAGTTCTATTTTTGATCTCAACTAGAAACAAAAAAAAAATGTAGTAGTCTTGAAATCACTCGAGCATTATGAAGGACGTACACAATTAGATTATTTCATTTTTATACATTAACTAATTTGTCTTTCTAATAATGTTATATTAATGAGAAAAATTGAAAAACATAATGTATCGTGAGATAAAATATTAGTATGAAAAAACTATACTTTTGTAATATCTAGGCAAATTTATAATAAGAAAATAGTGGGTCAGAAAAAATGACAGTAAAACGTAATGTTAATGTATTCAAAAATAGATCAAAAAGCTGTATGCCAAGTTGTCACGCGTTCGAAATTTGATCTATGTTGAAAATAATAACTGAAACTAATAAATAAATTGTAGAGTTATTCATGTTGTATTTTTTCTTTAATTAAATATATTAGATGATAGAAAAAAAGTGATCATCTATCCTAGTTATTCATTCATTAAATAATAACATAGAAAGAATATTTATTAGTCCAGGAGATTCATATTACACTAGGTTAAATAAGAAGTTACTCGTGCAGTATTTATTCAAATAATGTATGCAAGATTTTCTGGCAACTATTGTCATTGGATATAAGTCTCTAAAAATATCATAACTGATATATTTTTATTCATCATTACTTCTATTGTTGTCTATATAATATTAAAGATAAAATCAACATAATTTATCAGAGAAAAAAAACCGAAGATAGTAAAAGTATTTGTATTATTACTAATTTTCAAAATTAATAAGAACTAAATTAGATTTTTAACAAATATAAAATATAAATATAGCTAAACATTCTTCATCTTGATCTCTAAGATGTTGATTTATCATTGGTGGCATTATCATCGATAAACTTTCAACTGATTGATTGTGTCTCGAATGTTCTACATTAATAAAATATAATAGGAAATGAACAAAACAAAAACATGCCTCTTAATAATTTCACAGCATCAAACACATTGAATTTCATCAAATGCATTTGTCAGAAAAGAGAATTTATAAGACAAAGTGTTTCACCAAGTGTTGGGTCATCTCGAATTCGTCGTGTTACATCAAAGCAAAGATATAAATGTAAGCGTTTTCGATCATCATCACTAAGATGGATGGGTATGGGTGTGGTTACTTTTATTTTATATTTATACCTTCACACACACACACACACACACACACACACACACACACACAATAATTTTCTTTTCTCCTATGAAATTCGACACAAATTAATTGACAATGAAGAATTTAAAATTTATTTATTCGAATTTTTTATTCAATTTTCTCATTGATTTTCAATAATAAAACTTCATTTTTCCTTTTAGTTTTACTTATCGATTTTTTATTTAACAAAAAACTATTTTCTTTTTACAAAACCAAAGTTTTATTCACAAAACTGTTTCAAATTTTTCGATTCGATGATTTGCCCAATCACCAACATAAAGATTTCCTTCATCATCAAAAGATAAACGAAAGGGATGATTCAATTGGTTTGATTTATTTCCTCTACCATTTCCACCAACAATAATTTTACCTTCTTCTTTTCCTTCACACCAACGCATTATTCGATGATTCCCAAAATCTGCCACATAGATCTGACCGAAATCATCAACAATGACTCCTGCAGGATAAGACAATTGATTGAGATTTGCTCCTTCACTATTTCCTCCAGCCACAACTGTTCCTTCTTCTACATCTTTTCTCCATCTCATCACACGATGATTGTATCTATCTGATACATAAACAGATTGATCTTCATCAACAAAGATAAAACTAGGATGATTGAGTTGATTTCCTCTGCCATTTCCACCTGCCACTTTAATTCCTTCGTTGTTAGATTCACCCATTTTCCATCGTCTCACTTCATTCTTCTTATAATCAGAAACATAAAGAAATCCATATTTATCTATTGCCAAACCAAAACAGTCAATATTATCAATGAGAATTTGTTGGTTTTGATTCAACCATTGAATCACTCGTCTGTTCCCTTGATCAGCAACGATGATCGAATGATTTTGTTGATCAACAATCACATCTGTTGGAAAATTTAATTGATCCATTCGATGTCCTGGTCCATTTCTGCCTGCAATGATTTGTCCTTCATTTGCATCATGTTTCCATTCAACTATACGATGATTATAACAATCAGTAATAAAAATATTTTTCTTTCTATCAATAAATATTCCTGTAGGACGATTGAGTTGATTTAATTTTTGTCCTTGTCCATATCCGCCAACCACAGTCATAGCATTTTGTCTCCATTTGTTCCATGTTGGTTCTAGAAAATGATGAAAACAAAAGATTTTACTGATTTATTTTTTAAGTATAAATTTGAAAATAACTCAATTTTATTTTTATCAATCAAACATGTTTTGAATTTTTGAATAAAACTTTTTTATGTAGTTTAATAGTATTTTGAATCGTTTTTTCTGCTCGGCATTACTTTTCTTTGCTTTTATGGTTGTTCAGTATAAATTCATAGAAAATGAGAATTATTCTTCTACAAGTTATTTCTTAAAAACTTACTTTTTAATAAATTAATTGAAACATCATTAATGAGCGGTTTTGAATTTTGTTGAATAGATATATTTGATGGATTATTTAGTTCTTGTGTCATTTCGTTTAATTGATTTTTTAAATAATTTAAATTAATTTCATTATATTCATTTTCACTTTGAATTTGTTTTATTTGTTCATTTAAATCATTAAATTTCATTTCAATATTATTCAAAACTGTTTGTGAAGATCTAATGACAATTTCTCTAGAATCTTTTGCTCTTTGTTTAATTTTTTCAATTGACTCTATTTCCCATTGATTAATTTGATCTATTAATGAAAGATCATGTGGATTCGACTTTTGTTCACTAAATCTTTGTTTAAATTGATTATATTCATTAATAATATGGTGTAATTCATTATTTAATATTTGACGATGTTCTGTTAAATCCATCAAACAAAATCTTTGCGAACATCCTTCACAAGGATATGTTATTTTATTTTTATTACATGTAAAACATTGTGTTCTGTTGTTTGCTATTGCCATGTATTTGAATATAAATTCCTAGAAGAAATGAATATTTGTTTATCTACTTTTCTAGATATAAACTTAATGATAATAAAAGCATTGTTCCATAGTAAAAGATGATGTGTGTTTAGTTTCAAATAAAAGTTTAAACGATTCTAGTGATGTTTTTTCAATAAAAGAATGTTTTAATGTAGATTTGGATATTGATGAAGATTAAACATAGATCATTACCCTTCAAATGGATGATGTATTAATCTTTTATCCATTCAACTGCTTCGTCATGTTTATTTTAATCCAGTCTTATACTGTTATCATCATCACTCTCATTCTCAAGGTAGTTATTATGTAATATTCTTTTTTTGCTTATTTTTCATATTTTTTCAAAAGACTAACTTACCAAAATGAAACTATTTGAAAGAATTGAATTGTTGAACTTGTGATATTTTGTTATTATTTCGACAGGAATGAGAATTTCGTCTATACTACTTGAAAGCGAACAAATAAGTTATTCGTTCGCTACATTAACTACACATATGATCACATGATATTTTCTTCCTTCTAGTATTCTCTTCTTTTCTTTCATATATGCTAGTATTGAATTTTTTCCTTTTCGTTATTATAATTCGTTTTTCTTCTGTTCTTTTAACTTATATCGAAATGGTTATCTTCAAGTTATGAACAAACGTTAATGACATACGTATTTTCTCAGTATATATTGTATTGGTGAAATGGAAATAATCGAAGAAGTAACCATTTCTCATTATATAAATACCCGTGTTTTCTTTTTGAATCAATGAACTGTTACTTATGTGCTTTTAAACATCACTATGAATTTCTTTTTTATCGATTAAATTCCTCTAACTATTTTGTAAAAGAACAACATTTGATGTTTCATATGTTTATTTTCAGCTATATATTAGATTTGAAAAAAATATGTGACAAAAATTTCAAGTAGAGAAAAATATGAAAAACTCGTTTTGGTTTTGGTGAAATAGATTTTTAGTGTTTCATAATGAAAGAACATTGAAAAATGAAACGTGAATAAAATGGAGAAAAATAAGATTTTGCATAGTTTTATTTTATTAATTAATGAAATTAAAAATCTTAAATAAATTTTTCGACAAAAGAAAATCGATCAAAAATAAAAACATTGATCAATAGAATGATTTAATTGAAAAAGAAAAACGATATTAGATTAAAATATATGCAAGATAAAATATTTTCGAATATTCTATATATTTCCTTTTATTGATTATTTTAATTATTTTGAAATTTAAATAAATGTTGGAAAAAACCTTTTTTTTGTTGAATATTTTCAAATATTTCATTTAATCTATTGTGTATTGATTATTTTTGATAATGAATAAAATAGAATATTAAACTAATCTATTTTATTTTCAAATTTTTTGTTAAAGAATTTTGTTGAAATTTAATTGAAATTATATTTCAATTTATTTTAATTTAAAAAAAATAATAATTCTTTAATTCGTGTAATATATATGGAAATAACATACAATTGATTAAATCTTAAATGGTTCTAATCAAAATGTAATAGTTCTATATTAATAAAACTGACGATGAAGCAAAATGAAGCACTTTTCGATGTTTCACAGATAGATATTTTCTATAGGGTGGCTACATTTGAACAGGTCTTATTAATCAGCTTTTGATTATTCCAGATGGCCTAAGTAACATTTTTCGGTCGGATTTTATTCTTCGCTACGAATGAGAGAGAGCTAATGAAGTTGATGATCATATGAATGCGACATAAAAAATTATACTATTCGTATTTGATATTTATCATTATTCTGAAAAGATGCATCGTTTGATATTCTCCGAAAAAGATCTAATTAAATCATTAGATATAATCTTATTCATTTTGTTAACAATAACCGATGAAAATGTTAAGACACAAGTCTCCTTACAACTTTTCAAAATGATCATTTTTAGAAATGTTAAGCAGGTTTGAATTCTATTTTGTCCTTAGTCTGACATTCTGTCTAATCATTTTCAGTTTATAGATAATATTTTTAGAGATGAAAACTACACCGACATAAAATTTTATTGAACAGCAAGCTGAAAAATTGGTACAAGAACTTTTTTCAGAAACAACACTTTTGAAACTTGTGAGATTTCGTCTTCACTCCAAGCGTTCTTCATTTTTCAACTGGTTAGAAATATTGTCATCATGAATTCATCAAATTTGTCATTCATTATCTGATAGTTTATGCAAAAGACAGAAAATGGTCTGCTTGATCGACATTTCCTGATTAATTGTCAAATCGAAGCGAATAGTATACCAATAAATTAGAAAAGTTCTGAAATACTGAAGCAGCATTGATCATTGATGAATGCGTCGTCGCCATCGTCTGAATGATTCTTGAAATGTTTTTCTGTACAATGCTGAAGGAAGGACAAAGACAATAAAGATAAGCATCGATGGAGTAAATGAAATAAAATAACCAAAAAGAAATAACCAACGATGGTTTGATGGATTGGTACATTCAGATAACATTGACATAATTAGACGGGGTATGGACAGAATAAGAAGAATGCTCGGACTGATTAATAATTGTTTGTGTTCACTAAGTTGATCACAAATATGTTCTCTTAGAGTTCGTCTTGTTTGAGCTGCTGATCGTTGTCGGGCAGATCCGAATATGATGAATAAAGCAGAACAAAGATTGACAATACATGGAGCGATAAGATGAAAAAACAAGATGATTGTATTGTACTGTTGAACAGAAGGAGAATAGCGAGTTATACACCATCTATCGATATCTGCTTTGTTCGTCTCTGTCTTTATCTCACGCAATTCTCGATATATAGGTTCGTGAATGATCGAACTCATGACACACAATGGTAATATAAGAATTATCCATCGAGCTATGCGTTGACTTTTCTGTTTATTGAAGTTGATTCCTTTGAAAACAAGAATCGCTCTTTCAACGGCTACACAAGCATTGAGCCATGCATCTACATATAGACAAAGTTTGAGAAGAGGTTCAATCGATACACAACCTCCTCGAACAACAGAAAGACGAACTGATAGATTCATTTGAGTGAGAACCACAAACCAAAACTTCACTGTAAACATGCTTATTGTAAGAAAAGAAGTAATTGATGATGCTAAGAGATAGATGCCACATCCAACTTGTCGTAAATCTTTATTTTTAAATGTTAATATAGATAAAATACTATTGATTAAACCTCCAACAAACATAATCATCGTTAAAGCGGCATTGATTTTCACTAGTATTGTTTGATCAGTCAGTGCCATGTTCGGTCGAATTTCGTCACGTAAAATGTCATCGAGAGTAACACCAATACTTTTTTTGTAGAACTGACATTTTTGACCGATGAAACAACTGGTCACAATTTGAGCTGAAGGAAGAAATTCATGGTTATCAAGAGATGAGATCAATCTTCCTCAACAAAGCCATGTAGGCACAAATTTGTAAGCAACAATAGTCTATCAAAGTTATTTGTCTATACATGACATGTCATGTCGAGATTAAATTTATATATTTCTATTTTTATCTGATTGGAAAAAAACTGTTTGATTTCAAAAGAAAAAATTCCGATTTGATCCTATTTTTTGCCAATATTCTATTGAATTATACGATCTATTTGAAATTCTGAGATCTTTTAATATTCAAGAGTAAAAATGGAGTCCAGTGGGATGTTGTAATTCTCTGTTGATAATTTACAAAATAATACAAAATACTTACTATAAGGATCAAGAGTGATGTTATTTGGACCAGATGTCAGAATGGAAAAGTCTCCTGTTATATTTGGAGAAGATGTCGTCACCACTAATATGTATGTGGCGCCAGCGTGAAGATAAACGATGAACTTGAAATCTTGAGAGCTACAGCTTCGATAATCCTGTGAGAGTAGATTCTCGAAATGATTCATTGGGTTAAAATCATCTTTGTAAATATCACCAAAAGTATCCATACTGCTATCACTACTCAAAGCGTAATACCCAGTTTCCACTACATGCATTCGTATAGTTTCATAGTAATAATTTGATTTTCGACAATCTCGAGAATATGTTTGACTACTCGTATTCAGCTCTGATGAATAGTTCGATTGTACAGCTGATGAATATGGCATTTGGATGATTGATGGAGAACCTATGCGATGAAAACAAAAATAACAGTCAAGGTTCGTGCTAGATCTTGATTGACTGAGAGAAAGACGAATCGTCTTGATGTAAGAAAGAAAACTGAGCATCATAAGTCATCTCTCACATACCCTGAATATCGAGAGGCATATCGAAGCTGAGTCTAGCTTTCTGAAGAGACGACTCTCTATAATATCACTTTCACTGAAATAGTTAAGCCGGTAAATGGAGAATGAGAATAGAATCTATAAATATTTTTTCTGTACTCGAACCTTCGATAATGTAATGCACGAATGAGTTTAGAATAACTTCTTTATTTCGAAAATGGATAATGTTCCAACGTTTTACATACGAAAAATTGTTTAGTTATAGTCTAATTCTCCTACTCCTATAATTTATTCAAAAATTAAAGTATGTAAAGATATCTTTTAGATTCATACAAGGTAAGCATATGTTTATATTTTTTATCTATGATACATTATATTTAAATGTTTGCAGCATTTTTTTTATTAAAGGAACATTCAGTGCTAGGACATGTTGTAGCAAAAAGCAAATTTTTTTCCGTTTCATGGTCACTAGCTGAGATTCATCTCGATTTGTATTTTATGCACATCAGATTATGGATCGATTGAAACGAGTCTGTATTCAATGAGATTGATCTGATCCTATTTACAATATTCTGTTATATTTGATGGATTTAATGTAGCTGTTTGTATAAAGCTTTCTTCTTATAATACAAAAGTCATCTTATACCACAAGTTTTTATTTGTGGATATTCTAAACTCAACTAAATACTCATACTAATGTTGACAAATATTCATTTAATAGTTGTATTGCAAACACTTACTAATATTCCTGAGATCAATATTATCTGGACCGGATACAATGATCAAGAATGCACCTGTTATATTAGAACTGTACGTTGTTACAACCAATATATATTTAATAGTACTCTCAAGAGCAATTGTGAATCTAAACTGACGTTGATTGCAGCTGTCATCATCGTATACAAGTCGATTTTCATTTGGATTGGATGGATTGAAATATTCTTTGTACATAGAACCGTATGTGTCCATACTGCTTTTGCTAAAGAAAGTGTACAGACCGCTTGTACGAACATTCACTTGTATCGCTTCATAGTAAGAACTTGACTTTGAACAACTACGGAAATACGTTGAACTGTTCATTATCAATTTTGATGCATAAACCGTTTGAACAACTGGTGAAGTATTCACTAACAAAAAAGAAAACCGATTCAATTTTGTGTAATATGGAAATAAGTGTAAATAATTTGAAATATTACTTTCTCTTTTAGATACATTTACCGAAAGCGACTGAAAGTGATATGAATCTTAGTCTCTATCGATCAGATATATCTGTATATCATTTAGTAGATTGAGTTTATCTATATTTTCTACCATTCATGAATAAGTGCAGCTGATTATCTATGAAAATACTATATATACTCACAAATACGATTGAAACCGATACGGTTTCGGTCAGATCCTTGAATTGAAAATGTCCCTATTAGTTTCCGAGATGTTGTTATAACGACAACATATATCACATTGGCTTGAAGAGCAGCTGTGACTTTAAATTGACCTCGATTTCCATAGTCTCCACTATAGCTAAGGATATTTTTGAACACATCGAATGGATCAAAGTTATTTGTGTAGATAAAAGCGTACATGGTTTTCATCTCGCTTTTGATTAGAAAAACATAATGATCAGTTATAGTGACATTCATTTGTATCGTTTCATAATACGAATCTAACTCTGAACAATCTTGAAAATAAATTGAACTATTTGGTGTCAACGATGATGAATACATTGATTTTACTAGTAATAATGAGTTATCTATCGAATGAAAAAAATCAATAAGTATTTGTATTCATAATAAAGAAAAGAAATGATTGCATAGATTCTTAATTTGCTTTTCACTCTGTTCACTAAAGAGAGTTGGATCGTTTGTTTTGGAACAATGCTTTTAATAAAGAAATGATGAAAAACATGAAATAAAATAGTTATTTAGCGTCCTTACAATAAATATCGATATTAGCCCTTAAAATTTGCATGTTCTTTCCAAGAGACGTTGTAATAATTAGAATAAAAAAATGCTATAAAACCTCCTATACAAAAATAAGTACCATTCTGGACTAAGAAAGTCTAGTAAGTCAAACATTTACAAATTGATGACTTCTTCATTGTTATCTTTATTTTCAAACTTCTCTTCTTTTATAAATATAACGCAAAACATTAATTTTTTTTGTCGATATCACTAAGCACAACAATAAACTATCTGATGAAACTATTTCATAAAGTTCTAGTGTATCCACGACTATGACATGACGTCAGCAAGAAAAAGTCAGTTGGAAGTGACATTTAATCTTAACAGATCAAAATATTCTGATATTCGATCCATTGTTAAAATATTACAAGAGTCACTCTTTAATTATTTTTTATTCTAATAAAGCGTGTCTTGAATAACTTGGTAAGGATGAAACTTTTTTCTTCTTCTCGTTGTTGGTATTTTTATGCGAAGACACTGACCTACGTTCAAATCTCACTTCTTTGTGATAATTCTGATTTTCCTCTCCTTCTTCAATCAAAATCATGACCGCAAATATAACATAATCGCCTTCTCATCTCGAGAGTAAAAGTGACATTCTGAATCTCTATGATTGCGCCACGAGTTGTAGTCGACACTCGACCATAAGGTCATTTCTCTCTCACAGATGTTTTACATCTACAAATTTGAAAGCACATTGAGCAAATATGCAAAACGGCTTTTTGTTGATTTCAAAGCAGTTTGCGAAACGTTTTTGTTCTGAAATATGAAACTCGATGCTAGAATTTTTTCTTCGCATCGATATTTACTTTGAAGTGTTTTTAGTTCGATAAAGATTTGATGAATTTCGATAAAAATTTTCCTTCTGATGTGTCTTACATTTCATAAAATCATTGTGTTCATTATTTTCTACAGTCAACAGCGGTAAGTGAGCGCAGATAATGATGAATCAAAGAAAATTTATGAAGAGAGTTCAACATAAAAGATTGAATCTATCTCTAACTTTCCTACTAAATATATAAACATTCTAACTTCCATGTGTGTTATGCCACTAACATGACGATAATGTTATCGACCGACTTTTGTAGAGAATTATCAATAAGCAAAGTTTTTATTTTATGACAATAGTATGTTAGGATGAAACTTGAAATTTGAATTTAACTATTTAATAATTCAGTTCGAAATCCCTCAGGAGTTTTACTTTCATCCTCATCTTGTATGATATTTTTTCTTTTTAATTCTCTGAATAAGTATTGATTGAAGTGGTATTAGAAGCTTTATTCGATCATTCTAAACTTACCACATGATTCTTCCAAATATTGAAATTTTTGAATTCGATGATTAAATTGATCAGTAACAAATATGTTTCCAGAATGATCGAAACTGAAGCTCAATGGGCCAGACAATTGATTGGATTGTGAACCCTCTCCGTAACATCCAACTAAACATCGAAAACCATTCAAGTCTAAACCAACAATACGATGATTGCCTGCATCTACAATAAATAAATATTTCTCAGCATCTAATATAATTCCACTTGGACAATAAAGTGTGATTGGAATTAGTGATGACTTTCCAGCCACTGTGATACCATTTAATTCTCCAGACTGGAACAACTGAACTCGACCATTGTAACAATCTGCCACATATAAATCCAAATTCACATCAACAAAGATTCCACGAGGACCATCGAGTTCATGTGAGTCTGATCCTTCAATACCTGTTCCAGCAGCAACACGATTTGAAGCCATTACAGCATCATTTAATGATCTTATCACTACTTGATGATGATTATACATTGAACAGTAGAGAGTATGATTGATATCGACGAACAAACCCCAACATGATGAGTTGACATGCATCACTGTAACAAAGTTATTTGTTTCGACTATCCATTTCTGTACTCGACCATTCGTCTCACCATCATCAATATAAACATCACCATTTGCTGTCACGACGAGAGACTGGGGTTGTGTAAAATCACCGGAAATGATCTTTGTTGGATTGTCACTCTCTTCTTGCCACATTACACTTGTGTTATTTTCTCGGTTAGCGACATAGATTGTATTGTTTATGTTCACAAAAATAACGGTAGGCTCTTCACCAACAACCGATTGATTAGCAATGGTAATTCCATTGGAACTCCAAGCGGCTGTTGAACAAAACTTTGGCTGATTGAATGAAAGAGCTAAAATCAAGAAAAATATAAAGAATATTAGAGAAGAACTGTAAACGAAATGAAATTATTAATTTATATATTCGTAGAAGAAAAATAAAATTTCTTCAAAGAAATTTGTCATGAAAAGACATTTTGAAATGTTTGTTAAGGTTGATTCTAGGAATGATTTTTATTAATTTTCATATGAAATATGAAGTTCGATATTGTTAAAATATTTTTGTTTAAAACATCGATGTTGATTATTTTAGATGAACAATTTTCTTACTACTTTTTATTGAAAAATCTTGTAGAAGATCTGAATAAATTGTATCAAAGAAAATAGTTAAATAAAAGAACTTATGTATTTAAGAAAAAATAATCAAGATAAAAGAAGAAATCTTTATCAATCAAATTTCTTTCTTTGCAATCTTGAACATTCCATTCGCCTTTCTCAAGTGAATTTTAATTATCAAGCTGGTTTTTTCTAAAAATAATTCTGCACATATGACATTACAGATCTTTTTTTTGAAATATTTATTCAAACATAAGTTTCAAGTTTCAAATATTTATTCGAAGTTTCTCAAACTTTTTTCAGATAAACATTTCAAATTAATTTAGAGAAGAAATCAAGGAAAACGATAAATATTCCTGTTATCTCAGTTGTCTATATTATTAAAAATATAACTCGGTTTATCTTAGGAAATATTTTTATTCAAAATCAAGTCAATAGATTTTATTTATTTTATCACATTACAAATTTCCTTCGACTATTCAATATTACTCTATACGACTAAATATTATGATAACTATCCAAGGAACAAATCATCAATCAAACATTTATTTATGGTATAATTTATTTTTTTCAATATTTGATATAAAAGTTTATCACTCTCAAATAGGCATGTACCGAGCCCGAGCCTCTCGGGCTCGGGTAGGCTCGGGGCTCGGTCAGGCTCGGGGCTCGGTAGGCTCGGGGCTCGGTCAGGCTCGGGGCTCGGTCAGGGCTCGGGCTCGGTAGGCTCGGGGCTCGGTCAGGGCTCGGGCTCGGTAGGCTCGGTCACAACTCGAGGCTCGGTCAAGGCTCGGTGTCAGGCGGATGCAGGAGTGAATTTCTTACATCTGAGCCCGAGCCTACCGAGCCCCGAGCCTGACCGAGCCCGAGCCTGACCGAGCCTACCGAGCCTACCGAGCCCTGACCGAGCCCCGAGCCTACCGAGCCCGAGCCTTGACCGAGCCCCGAGCCTACCGAGCCCGAGCCTGACCGAGCCTACCGAGCTCCGAGCCCGAGAGGCTCGGTCAAGGCTCGGGCTCGGTACATCCCTACTCTCAAAGAGCAACAATGACTAAATTCATTCTCCACAAAAAAAGAAGAAAAACTAGGTGTCGGAATTGTGGTATTTTATTTGTCCTATTTTTCTTCAACCAAACATATCGAAATATAAAATACGAAGTGAAATCATAGAATAGTTTATATTAAAACTCTATCGATAAAAATATGAAGAGTTTATTTGGATAAGAGCTGTTTCATTGATGAAATATTCTTTGAGACCTATGAAATGAAACATGAAAGCCCTTGCTACCACTCCATTAAGAACACAACTTTCTCTTTCTCTACTCTTTAATCTGAACAAAAAGCTGAAGATTGTTTGCTTAAAACGGTTGATACGTGACTCTGTCTGATCTGAACATTTCATTTCCTTATAGACACATTTTTTTACACATTGGTTCAAATAATCTTTCTCAACCGTTTTTCTTTTCTTTCGCTCTTTATATTAAAATATCTTCCTTTACCTGTGTTACTTATCTATACTCACCTCTTCATATCATTCAACTTTTCTTCAACTTACCAAAAGAATCTTTCATCAATAAAAATTTTTGAATTCGATGATTTGTTTGATCAGTTGCAAATATGTTTCCAGAACGATCGAAACTAAAACTAAATGGCTTATTCAATTGATTGGATTGTGAACCCTCTCCATAACATCCAACTAAACATCGAAAACCATTCAAGCCTGAGCCAACAATTCGATGATTCAATAGATCCACAATGAACAAATATCTCTCAGCATCTAATATAATTCCACTTGGACAATCAAGTGTAATTGTTGGATTTAGTGATGTATATCCAGCTACTGTGATGCCATTTGGTTCTCCCGACTGAAACAACTGAATTCGATTATTTAAACAATCTGCCACATATAAATTCAAATTCACATCGACAAAGATCCCTCCTGGACCAGCAAGTTGATTCGAGGCTGATCCTTCAATACCTGTTCCAGCAGCAACACGATTTGAAGCTAGCACAGAATCATTTAATGCTCTTTTCACTACTTGATGATAATCAGACATTGAACAGTAAAGAGTATCATTGATATCGACGAACAAACCCCAACATGATGAGTTGACACTCATCACCGTGATAAAGGTACTTGTTTCTGCACTCCATTTCTGCACTCGACGATTCTCAAATCCATCATCAATATAAATACTACTATTTGATGTCACGAAGATAGAAGTGGGTTCTATAAAATCACCGTGAATGATCTTTGTAGGACTGACACTATCTTCTTCCCACATTACAATTGTGTTATTCTCTCGGTTAGCGACATAAGTTGTGTTATTTGTGTTCACAAAAATGGCGAGAGGATATTCACCTACAATCGATCGATTAGCAAAGGTAATTCCATTGGAATTCCAAGTGGCTGTTGGAGAAAGCTTTGGTTGATTTAATGAAACAGCTAAAACAAGAAAAATATAAAAAATATTAGAGAAGAATTGTAAACGAAATGAAATTGTTAATTGATATTTTTCTTGAAAAAACCCATTCAGATTCATTCTGAAAATATTTCTATAATTTTTATTGTATTTTCTCGGACGATTTGTAAGTATCACCTGAGAGAGTGCTGAATTTATCGAAGAAAATCAACGTCTTTTATGGAATATTTTGTTGTGAATGATAAAGAAATATGTTAGATCTTTGACAAAATATCATTACCATTGAAAACAAAGTAAAATAATCATAGGACTTTTTATTTGTTCAACGAAAATCAATATGAAGGAGGAAAAGAGAACTGTTTAAAATGAAAATGAGTTTATTGAGATTTAAATAAAATGCCTTCGTAACTCAAAATCAATTCTCATTTCCATATGAAAAAACATTGTGAACTTGTTGATGTTAAATCATTTCAATTGAATCTAATTAATATGTGAAAGAGAGGAGAAAATTCCCTTATTAGTTTTTAAGTAAATACAGGAATTTCTGTTAAGCTCTATAATTTATTATTTCACTCCCTTTTATTCAATTATAACTCTAATGAATAATGTCATTTTTATGCAATAGCTGATCTTCAGTATGTGATAAATAAAAGTATTTACCTGATGTTTCATTGCTGAGAATGAACAGAAGAATAACGACAAATAATACGTAGATATTCCACATCATTCAACAAGATTGTTTTTGATAAATTAGTTAACTACTAAAATAATCTCCTTCTTTTTTGTCTTCGTTGAAAACAAAATGACACTCGCTGTAGGTTTTCTCTCTAGTTACATATCTCTCTTTTTCTCTCTCATTCATTTTCTCCAACAGAAGACAAAGAGAAAAAATAGTGTTCTGTAGAAGATTTTGTTCGCATTAGGTAAGATAAAAAATCGATTTTAAATTGGATTAATGAACAAAATTCATGATTTAATTCCATATTTTTCATTGAATTTTATTCTTTTCCAAAATCGAAAACAGAGAATGGAATTTCAATTCAACATGATCTTTTTCTTTTTTTTAAATTTATAGAAAATCTTTGATTTTAGTGAAGACGAACGTGTTGAAGAGAAAGGAGAGAATTGATGAAAATCTACATTAATCATCGGACGTGTTTTAACTCAAAATAAGATATCAACTATCATCGTCAATAAATGATTGACGTCAATGAATAAGTCATGATTAGTTTTGATATTATTTTATGTGACTTTGTTAAATAAACTGCTTTGTCAGGATTCACTTTTAATCACGTCCTTTGTTTCTCGCTGCGCAATAAATATTTTCTGTGAAAAGTTTCTTTCTTTCAATATTTCGATCTGTTTTCGAATAAAAACTCATCAGATATATAAGAAGGGTGTAGGTGCGGATGAAAGATGACTATACTTTCAATATATTTGCTCATACGCGCACTTTTTCATACCCTTCATTATATACAAAACATTCTTAACGAAACTGAATAAAATACTTATCTTACAAAATAATTTAAAATCATCAAAGTATGAGTTTTCAAAGACTTTGGTAAGACTTTATTTATTTTATTTTGTTTTATCACAAAAGTCAGAATACATAACAATTACTGGCATACACTTACATATAAAAAATATATATATATTTATATATATTAAAACAAAAAAATTAGAGAAAGACTAGGCATTTGATTTCTATTGAACTAATTATCATTAGAAGATTTTCGTTGTTTTTCATTTATTTTTTCATTTACTAGATTATTTAATTTGTTTCAAAAATTAACTAAACGATTATTATCATTGGCACAAAATGCTCAAAAATTAGCTAACATAATATCTTAATAGCTTTCTTTATCTAGGTGTGGGTGTAGGTGTGAGTATTCTATTCATTTCACACCCACACCCTTATATAAGTACTGTTTTCTTTTAATAACACATCGACAATAAGCAGAGGGTGTGGGTGCAAGTGCTTAAAGAACGACACGCACCCACCATTCATCTACTCACAACCACATTCACACCCATCCCATAACATCAATCTCTCTAGAAGCAGAAGGAAAGACAAAACTTTCAAAGTTCTGAACGGCATTTTATTAATTATTATATGTTATGTTTCTTAGATACTGTTCAGAAAAAAAAATTAATTATTTCAATCGCCAAGTGCTTGTCACAGAGGCCATTGATGTCCGTTCAGCCATTCTTTTTCCTTTTTAGTGAGGTCTCTGGATCGGCCTCCTCGCCATGTCTTGTCATCATTGAGCTCCCTATCGTCGTTAAAATGAACATGGGGTTTTTCCGGTATCTTTGTATCACCTTTGTCGACACGCACAACTGATGATGGAGCTTTTCCCTTAAGTATATCGTTATTCATCTGGTTCACGTTGTATGCTTGTACCAAACTGCAATAAAAAGAAACGAATCGAAGTTTTTAAACATATATTAATTACACTTTAGTGGTTTCGTTATTTTCAACGAGTAATAATTTCACAGATATGCAAATTATAGTACTAAAGGAAAAACCTGTTGCACGTCACTGTTGAATAATAAACTGTAGAAGGGGATGATTTACTCTTTTACAGTCTGTGAAATAATTCACGAGAGAGATCTAAACTCCGAAATTATCAGTAATTCCATTTTACTAATATTAAATATTGTCTCATGGCGAAACCGAGTTCACATCGGTCGTACTTACTTAATGATTGATAATATAAAAAATCCAAATAAGACCAGTCGTATCCACATGATGATGGTGTTTATTGCTTGAGTTGAAATTTTGTATACAGACCACAAATCTTTCATACACATATTTATATTAGATGAATCGATTAAAATTAATACTGTCGTAATGCCTTTAAAATTGAATTTGTGAAAACAAAATATCATATTTCATCTAATCTCTGTATTTTTCTCATTTGACCTTCGAAATAATGAAAAGATTAATGGCGAGAAGCAAAATAGCTTAGAGCCACAGTTCTACTGTAGTGATAGTAATAGAGAGTAAAACAGTTGTAAGATAAAGCTGCCATTTAACAGACTTTATGATAGTGAAGCCGCAACCCTTGAGTCTCTGTCAAACATTTTTCAATCTTCGAAGAGTAGTATATTGATTCAAAATGAAAAAATGTTCAATTCTAAATTCAAACAGTGGAACGTAAATACGAGAAGCAACAAAAGAATGCGAATTGTTATAGAAAAGCGAAATGGTGATTACTTAGTTGAATAAGTTGTTCCACTACTTCTTTAGAATAGACATATCGCTCCGAGACTGATGAAAATTAAGATGATTCATTAATTGATTAGGAATTCATGAGAAACTATCAAAGTCAACCATTAAACGCGAGTAATCTCACGTTTGCATCAAAACTTTTGAAAACCAGAAATATAGGGTGTAGGTGGGTGTGGTTGTAGCTACAGGTGTTTTATTAATTATATCTTCACTCAAACGTACACAGACACCTACTCTCAGCACACCCACACTCTCAATAATGTATGAAGAACTTTAATTTTTAATTAGACAATGTTTTTTTTTGTGTTCGTTTCATATACAGTATTTATTGTGTAAAAATCAATTTTCAATAAGGAAAACTTCAAAATACTATCAACTGTTTTGCTGTTTCTATGTATAAACTTGATCCGTAGTGATTTGTCTTTAAAAACACAATATTTAGTCTGATTTAATACTCTCATATCGTCATAATTAGCATAACAAAAACTTAATGAAACAAAAGTGACATATTTTCTGGATATCATAACCATATCGTTGTTTCGGAACAAAAATAGATTTCTATCAACGAAAGATCATTAAGAAAAAGAAGAAATGAATCATGTATTTCTATAATATTTTTTCAAACTTCACGTACATTTGATTGTATACTTATACTGCCACACAGATTGCGAATGAAATATGTTTATATGTTATCGAGATGCAGCTGTCGAACCCATCATTACTGTTTTCTCTCATTTTCTTACGTTTGCAGACAAATAAATATACGTATGGACATATCACGCTTCCCTCTTTGTGTTGGATTCTTGTTAATTATAACAGTCTATGATGTAGTACAAAGCAGCAGTGCTGGATTTACGATTACAGCTGTGGGTCAAAGCCTAGATCTGCTCGATGAAGGTGGAGAAATTCCTGTTTACCATTGTCAAATGAAAGTCGGTCAAACGGTGACGTTCGTTTCGCAAGGATACGTTGCACCACGTGGAAAACCTAATCAACCATCTAAACCGGATGCAGGTGAATGGTTATTCGATGACCACGTATTTCAATTGCTGTCATATGAAAAGAACCTGTTCGATAAGACACAGTTACCTGTTATGCTCAAAGCATTGACAAACGTTGCTAGACAAACTCATGTTCGTTTCGTTGGCAAGATTCTCGGATATAATCGCAAATATGATGTGTTAGTCGACATAGTCAATTAAATGAATCAGCTCTGTCATGTGACTTTTACATATAACTAATGTTGTTAAAGATTTTCTTTTATAAATAAAATCTATTACAAACGTTGAAAAGAAAGTTTAGATTTTGTGTTAGAAGAGGATGTGAATATGGGTGTGACTGAGAATATTGTGTCTATTAATCATACTCACACCTGTCTTCAAGATCATCGCACCTTTCTCTAGTGAACTATATTAATGATTATGTACTGTTATTTACATCTGAATTAAAAAGCAAAATAAAATGGCAGTTATTCGATAGTGAAGAGAGTTTAAAAATAAGAATTCAGTATGGATATTATCATATTCTAAATGATATAATTCCAAGAGAATAACAATATGTTTATCGATTTCATATGTGTAATCTACATGAAAATATATATCTGTCTCTCTATATTGATTTTATTTTGTTCTTTTCTTGTCATATAGGAAAAGAAAAAAAGTGATAGTGTACCCATCCGAAACGAAAATATTACTATAATCATTAAAGCACGTTCTCGAGAACAAAACTTAACACAATTTGTATATATAAATATCGATTTATTTGCCATATCGAAAGTATTCTAGTATATTTATATTATGAATATCTTTTCATTATACCTAGAATTTCTTATGAAGTAACATGTAATCATAAATATTGTATTATATATAATTCTATTTAAGATCAATGATGATGATGGACAGATGTATGGCTATGCAAAATGGTTTTCAATTTGCAATGGGAAAAAGTCAACAATGTATTTTATTTTCTTTTTGCAGGATTGAATATTGATACTCGAATTAAATATGCATTATTTATTATTATTATATTTTGTATGGGAATATTCAATGAAATAATAATATATAGTCGACATCTATTAGTACAAAGACCAATTGTATGATCATCTGTATTTGTTCAACAATTGTGTATATCATTATCATATGGAATTCATATGTTATTGGCTTATTGTTTTATGTTATTAGTTATGACATATGATATTGGTATTTTTATTGCTCTTCTATCTGGGTTAATTTTGGGACATTTTATTTTTGGTATTATTAGAATTCGAAACCGAACTCAAATTCAGTCTTTAACAACAGACATAACACCGTTGATCAACACTTCATCTGAAGATCATTCATTGTCTACCCCGTGTTGTCCAACTGAGTAACAAATTTCAATGGATAATCGATTATAATAATCAGTATTTTGTATTTATATTAAAATATAAAAAAATACTTTAAATTCATAATTCAAATAAATATTTCGTTCATTTTTTAAAAAGATAACTTGTTTTATCCTAAATAATGAACAAATAAAAATCCTCTTGAAAACTGTCATATTTTACGAATATAAATGTCGATATTCTTTTATTAATTGCATCCACATATTTTTTTCTCTCGTTTTCTTCAAATGATTCATGTAGTACTTATCTTCTACTTTTTTGACAATCGGCAGAAAAAATCTAAATCTTACATTCATACGACATTGCACAGGTACGAGAAATTTATGACTCAAAATACATAAAAATAAGTTTTGAACGACTAGATATTTTTCTATCAATTCAAAATGTATGCACACGTTTTAATATAATCATCAGTACTTATACTCAATACGGGGTAAATTATAGTCTTACTTTTGTCGTTAAAACATCGTTTAGTATTAATTTATTTTTATAGATATTCACCGACCTAAAAGTAGAAAGTCATTTACTAAATCATAAAAAAATTCAGCTTCTCGCTCACGCATTACAAAGTAATACGGTAAGAGAAGTTTTTTTTGCGACAGTACGACCGTATATTCATTATAATATTTCAATACAGTCAATGACTTCACTCAATCTTCAATGCAATGAAATTCGAGTCGAAGGTATACGATATCTTGCTGAAATGTTGCAGAATAACACGGTCAGACATGCTTGGTTTTTTTTCATTAACTATATAAATCTATCTTTATGTATTAATGTAGACATTGACTACGCTTAATCTGGAAAAAAATAATATCAGTGCTAGAGAAACCGAATATCTAGCTCAAGCGTTACAGAATAACACGGTTAAACAAACTTTCTACTTATCAATTATGAATCAATCATTATGTTTTGATGTAGACACTTACTACTTTTAATCTTGGATGGAATTATGTTCGTGATGACGGGGCACAGTATTTAGCTCATGCATTGCAGAATAACACAGTGAGACGAAGATTTTCTCATTAACTATAAATATATCATTAAATTTCGATACAGACACTCATTATACTTGATCTGCGATCCAATGGCATCGGTACTGAAGGAGCACAATATCTGGCTTATGCATTTCCGAATAACATGGTGAAATAAGTTTTATTTGTATCTAGTATGAGTTCATCATTATGTTACAATATAGACACTCACCACTCTCGACCTTCGACATAATGGAATCGATACCAAAAAGGCATATTATTTGTTCAATGAAGTAAATTCTTTATTGAGCAGAATTTGGTATTAGCAATATTTTATACATCGTGAGAGTGAGTGGACTGAGAGTATTGTGTTTACCAGCCATACCCACATCTTTTTTGTTCATTTTCATTGATTTTCAACAATAAAACTTCACTTTTTCTTTCATTATCATTTCTAGATTATTTATTTAACAAAAAATTATTTTTCTTTTTACAAAATCAAAATCGTATTCACAAAACTATTTTAAATTTTCTAATTCGATGATTTGCCAAACCAACAACATAAAGATTTCCTTCACCATCAAAAGATATACCACGGGCACCATTCAGTCGATTTGATTGACTTCCTTCACCATTTTCACCAACAACAATTCCACCTTCTTCTTTTCCTTCACGCTAACGCATTATTCGATGATTCCTAGAATCTGCTACATAGATTTGACCCAAATCATCAACGATGACTCCTTCAGGTGAAGACAATTGATTGAGATTTTTTCCAACACCATTTCCTCCAGCCACAATTCTTCCTCGTATGGCACCTTTGCTCCATTTCATCACACGATGATTGTGCCTATCTGATACATAAACAGATTGATCTTCATCAACAAAGATAAAAGTAGGATAATTGAATTGATTGAGCTGATTCCCTTTTCCATTTCCACCTGCCACTACAGTTCCTTCGTTGTTGTATTCACCCATTTTCCATCGTCTCACTTCATGCTTCTTCGAATCTGAAACATAAAGAAATCGATATTTATCCATTGACAAGCCATTACAGTAAACATTGTCGATAAGAATTTGTTGCTTTTGATTCAACCATTGAATCACTCGTCTGTTCCCTTTATCAGCAATGATGATCGAATGATTTTGTTGATCAACAATCACATCTATTGGTCGATTCAATTGGTTTATTTGATTTCCGCTGCTATTTGCGCCTGCAATGATTTGTCCTTCTTTTGCATTATATTTCCATTCAACAATACGATGATTATAATAATCAGCAATGAAAATATTTTTGTTTTTATCAATAAAGATTCCATGAGGGTGTTTTAGTTGATTTAACTGTTTTCCTTGTTTATTTCCACCAGCCACAGTGATGGCATTTTGTCTCCCTTTACTGAATTTTGGTCCTAAAAAATGACAGAAACAAACGATCTTGATGAAAACAAGAAGAAAGAAAAGGTTAATTTTGAATGAAGCGTTAATAAATATATTTAATTAAGAGACAAGTTTTATTCTTGACAATCAAACATCTTTTTAAACTTCGAACAAAAATTTTTTTAGTTAACTTTTCTTTTACATACAAATACGTTTAATATTTCTATTTCTATTAATAATCTCGATTTCTGTATCTTCTTTATCATCACTTTTCTTTGTATTTATACTTTTTTAACATAAATTCATAGAAAATCTGAATTTTTCTTTTAGAAATTATTTATTAAAAGCTTACTTTTTTCCAATGAAATAATTGAAATTTCATTGATAAATGATTGAGAATCTTGTTGAATAGAAATATTTGATGGATTATTTAATTCTTCTCTAATTTTTTTAAATTCATTTCTTAAATAATTCAAATTAATCTCATTAAATTCATTTTCACTATGAAATTGTTTTAGTTGTTCATTTAAGTCATTAAATTTCATTTCAATATCATTAATGCATGTTTGTAATGATTCAGTGGCAATTTCTCTACAATTTTTTGCTCGTTGTTTAATTATTTCAATTGAATCTAATTCCCATTGATTAATTTGATCTATTAAAGAAAGATCATGTGGACTGGGCTTTTGTTCACTAAATCTTTGTTTAAATTCATCATAATCATTAATAATAAGATGTAGTTCTTCATTTAGTATTTGACGATGTTTTGTTAAATCCATCAAGCAAAAGCTTTTCAAACACCCTTCACAAAGATATGTTATTTTATCCTTATTACATATAACACATCGTGTTCTATTGTTTGTCATTGTCACGTCTTTGAATATAAATTTCTAAAAAAAAATGAATATTTGGTTATCTACTTTTGTAGATATGAACTTAATAACTCAATGATAACAGAAACATTATGCAGTAGTAAAATAAACGGAAACTGATATGCTTTTAATTTTAAGTAAAAATTCAAACAATTCTAGTAATATTTTTTCAAAATTGAAGATTAAACATAGATTTGTACTCGTAACTTTACTCTCAAAATGGATAATATATTAATCTCTACTTCGCTCAACTGTATTGTCATGTTCATTTTAATCCAGTCTTATACTGTTATCATTATCACTTTCATTCTCAAGATAGTTATTATGTAATATTATTTGAAAAGACTAACTTACCAAAATGAAAGTATATAATACAATTGAATTGTTAAACTTGTGATATTTTGTAATTCTGATATGAATAAGAATTCTGTCTATGCCACTTGTAAGTGAACAAATAAATGATTCGTTCTTTACATCAACCACATATATGATCATATGGGTATTTTTCTCTCTTTTTTTTATATGACCGTATCATATTTTTTCTGTCCTATTGATGTCTATCAAAATGTGTTATCTCCCAGTCATAAACAAAGGAATATCACACATAGCTATTTTCCCAGAATATATTGAACTGCAGAGATGGAAAGAACAGAAGAAATAACCATTGCTCATCGTATAAATATTCGTGTGTTCTTCTTGAATCAACAAACTATTGCTACGCTTTCAAGCATCATCTTTTTCTTCAATTTTTGACTAAACTGTAACATCACTTTGAGTTCGTATTTTATCGATTAAGTTCTTCTAACTATATATTTGATTTGAAAAAGAAAAAATATCGAAATAAATAAGTAAAATATGATGAAATTTAATTGCAAACACGAAAGTATTATATATATCTCTTTAATATGAAAAGCTGTAGAAAAATGATAATACTAAATATCTATGATGATTGAAATTCATGATCTATTTTATAATCAAAATAAAAAATTTTACATAATAATAGCATTTCTCATGATATTCAACATAATAAAATATATTTGAAAATTAAATATTTGTAATGATTAAATATCATAATAATCATCAACATTTGATATAAATCAATTCAATTGTTTAAATTAAAAAAGATAAATAAATCAAATGTATATTTATTTATGGAAATTTAATGAAATAATAGTATTATTGATATATGATTTAAAATAAAGTCAAATGTTATCAATATTAACATGGTGAAAGTAACCAGATTCAGACTCAAACCCAAATCTACAATTTTCATTTGGTTAAAAATCGTATAAGTTAACAATTAGGTTTGAATTTCGTATCACCTCAAAACTTTTATTAATTCTTCATTTTATCTCAAATTTTTTGTTCATTTTTCTTTCTTCATTTATACGAAAATCTGTTCAACAATATTCATTTCAATTCGATATTATTATCAATTTTGAAAAAAGAAAACCAAAAAGATTTTTTTTTCAAGTTTTATTCGAATTTTTTTCATTAATTTTCAATAATAAAACTTCACTTTTTCTTTTATTATCATTTCTAAATTATTTATTTAACAAAAAAATATTTTTCTTTTTACAAATCAAAATTTTTATTCACAAAACTATTTCAAATTTTTCGATTCGATGATTCAAATAATCAGCAACATAAAGATTTCCTTCATTATCAAAAGATAAACCCATGGGAACATTCAGTTGATTTGATTGATTTCCTTTACCATTCCCACCAGCAACAATTTCACCTTCTTCTTTTTCTTCACACCAACGCATTACTCGATGATTACAAAAATCTGCCACATAGATTTGACCGAAATTATCAACAATTACTCCTTGAGGTACAGATAATTGATTGAGATTTTCTCCTTTACCATTTCCTCCAGCCACAACTGTTCCTTCTTTTGCATCTTTTCTCCATTTTACCACGCGATGATTGTTTTGATCGGATACATAAACAGATTCTTCTTCATCAACAAAGATACAGGCAGGAAAATTAAGTTGATTAAGTTGATCTCCTTTTCCATTTCCACCTGCAACTACAATTCCTTCATTGTACTCTCCAACTTTCCATCGTCTCACTTCATTCTTCTTATAATCAGAAACATAAAGAAGTCCATGTTTATCCATTGCCAAGCGACTACAGTCAATATTATCAATAAGAATTTGTTGATTTCGATTCACCCATTGAACTATTCGTCTGTTTTGCCAATCGGCAATTATGATGGAATGATTTTGTTGATCAACAATCACATCGGTTGGTAGATTTAATTGATTCATTCGATTTCCTTTGCCATTTCCACCTGCAACGATTTTTCCTTCCTTTGAGTTATATTTCCATTCAACAACACGATGATTGGAATAATCAGCAATAAAAATATTTTTGTTTTCGTCAACAAAGATTCCTGCAGGAAGACAGAGTTGATTTAATTTGTCTCCATATCCATTTCCACCAGCTACAGTGATAGCATTTTGTTTCCATTTATCCCATTTTAGTTCTAGAAAAGAATAAAAACAAACGGTTTTGATAAAAAAAAAGAAGAAGAAGAAGAAAAGTCGTTTTATCATTGAAACAAAATGAAAAGATTAATTTTGAATGAAACGCTATTAAATATATTTAACAAAGAGATAAATTATATTTTACTTCTCTAATTTATCAAGAACTTCAAAAAATAAAATATCTAGAGTGATGAAATTCTACTAATATCTATTTATAAATTATTTAGTTTTTGTTAGATTAGTTAACAAAATTTGAAAATAATTCAAGTTTGTTGTTATGAATCAAACATCTTTTGAAGCGTTAAAGAAAAATATTTTTAGTTAACTTTTATTTTACATCTTATTATTCTTTTCTTTGATAAACAAATAAATTAAATTTTTTATTTATATTAATATTGTAATGTTAATGATTCAATTAAGAAATAAATCAATAGCATTTTCAATTTTTTTTCTCTACTTTTTACTTTTTACAAACTTACTTTTTTCTAATGAAATAACTAGAATTTCATCAGTAAATGGTAGAGAATCTGGTTGAATAAAAGTCGTTGGTGGATTATTTAGTTCTTCTCTCATTTTTAGTAATTCAGTTCTTAAATATTCTAAATTAATCTCATTAAATTCATTTTCATCATGAAATTGTTTTAGTTGTCCATTTAAATCATTAAATTTCATTTCAATATCATTCAAAAATATTTGTGAAGATTTAATAACAGTTTCTCTGTAATCTTTTGCTTTTTGTTTGATTTTGTTAATCTCATTTATTTCCCATTGATTAATTTGATCTATTAATGAAAGATCGTGCAAACTGGGCTTTTGTTCACAAAATATTTGTTTAAATTGATCATAATCATTAATAATATAATGTAGTTCTTCATTTAATAGTTGACGATGTTTTGTTAAATCCATTAAACAAAAGTTTTTCAAACATCCATCACATAGATATGTTATTTTATCTTTATTGCATGTAAAACATTGTGTTTTGTTGGTTGTCATTGCCACGTCTCTAAATATAGAAATATACAAGAAATGAATATTCCTTTATCTCTTTTCTAGACGTAAACTTCATAATTCATTGATAATAAAAACATTGTTCAGTAGTAACAGAAACTTAAAAAGAACTTTTTTCTACAACAAAATCTTGCTGATAAAACTGATATGCTTTTAATTTCAAATAAAAATTCTAACAATTCCAGTGTTGTTTTTTCACTGAAAGAATGTTGTGATGTAGATTTGGATATTGATAAAGATTAAACATAGATCTTTACCTGTGACATGGATGATATATTAATCTCTACGTCACTGAAGTACATCGTCATGTTCTCATTTTTACATTATTTCAAAAGCCTAACTTACCAAAATGAAACTATTTCAAAAAGTTAAATTGTTGAACTTCTGATGTTTTGTAATTATTTTGATATGAATCAGAATTCAGTTTATACTACATGTAAGCAAACAAATAAATGATTCGTCCTCTACATTAACCACATATATGATCACATGGTATTTTCTTCTATATATAGTCATATAGTTATTTTTCGTTTTCGTTATTATAATTCGCTCTTCTTCTGTTCTTTTGACTTATATCGAAATGTGTTATTTCTAAGTTATAAACAAAGGAATATCACACATAGCTATTTTCCCAGATTATATTGTATTGCAGAGATGACAATATATAAACAATTACCTTTTGTTTTTAAATCAACGAACTATGACTATGCTTTCAAGCATACTCTTTTTTTTGTCAAGCTTCGATAAGACTGTAACATCACTTTGAACTTCGTTTTCATCGACTGAATCCTGCTAACTATTATTTTTTTCCAAATACATATTTGATTTGAAAAAGAAAAATTATTGAAATAAATAAATAAAATATGATCAAATTTAATTATAATTAATCGAATATCTCAAAACTTGTTTTTATATATCTCAGCATTGATACATAATAGAAGTTTGATCTTTACTCTTTCAAAAGATTCACTATGAAAAGCTCTAGAGAAATGCTGATACTAAATATCTGTGATGATTGAAATTATAAATGATCTATTTTATAATCAAAACAAAACATTTTACATAATAATGCCATTTCTCATGATATTCAACATAATAAAATATATTTGAAAATTCAATGTTTGTAATGATTAAATACCTTAATAATCATCAATATTTAATATAAATCGATTTAATTGTTTAAATTGAAAAAGATAAATAAATCAAATGTATATTTATTTATGGAAATTTAATGAAATAATAGTATTATTGATATATGATCTAAAATAAAGTTCAAATGCTATCAATATTAATATGATGAAAGACTCTATCAGAATAAGTGATGTTGTATATTCCGATTCAACAATTTGATATATAAAACCAATAAGAATCCTCAATAGATAAGTAGAAGAATCGATCGTATATGTTAGCAATTGAATTAGATTTCATAGATAAATTATAAAATGATAATAAAATATGTTGAAGAATTTCAATAGAAAACTTCTCAAGAAATAGAAAAATTTTGAATAAGAAGTTTTGTATAATAGATCTAACTTGTTATCTGGATATTCAATTCTTTCTTGTTGAAAGTAACAATGAATTTTTATTATTTTTCTCCGTTCTTAAATAATATGTATACATGCTAATATTCTTTTTTGTAATGAGTCGTCTATATTCGAGATATATTCATTTTTGAATTAAAACTACACAAATGAAACAATGTCCATCGATTTTCTTAAGTGTATTATTATTTAAGTTGAATATATCTATGATTACATTTGTTTAATAAATTATTATAAAATTAATTGAATTATTTTTAAATATTGAACAATTTTCATAATTAATGTTAATATATCTACTAATATGAAATTTATAATTTATTTTTATTATCATGATAAATATCGTTTTTATGAAAATAAATTTGTGTTTTTCATTTATATATCTTGTCTCATTCGAATATTAATGATGTGAGTATTGAAGATAATCAATTTGTACAACTGTTGATTGTCGATGTCAATCTAAAATATTATGTTAAGTATAGATTAAGATGTTTCGAGTAAAATTCAACAATTTTCTTGTTTTGCTTTTACTCTTCACCATATGTATGAACTTAGAGATGAGCGGGATCAGTATTGATCGTAGTCCCGGTCCTGGAGCTAAAAATTTAAACTTTACCAGGGCTGAAAAAAATTTACCAGGAATACGACAGGGACTGGGACCTAAAAAGGTTGGTCCCGCACATCTCTAATATCGTTCAAGAGACATTTAATGTAAAATTACTCATAAAATTTCTAAAACAAGTCTTCACTACTCGTTTTTCAATTTGTTTAGTCGACGATTAGCATTTTTTGGTTCATTTTTCTTGAATAAAGTCATCGTAGTTAAGGTTATTATATAGCCCCATATTCAAGTGTAGGTCCCGCACATCTCTAGTATGAGCATATTTTATGAATCTATTTTTGAGAACAAAAGATATTTTTTCGTAGTTGAACGTATTATTGATGAACAAATCCGAAAATATTAAAAAAATACATTTTTCAATTGATTTCATCATCAAACTCAATTATTTGATTATGTCTTTACCAATTTTACGTAATTATTAACTAATAATAAATAATTTCTTTTATTTATTAAAATATTTCAACAAAATCTTTTTATTCAAAGATCAAAACAAAGAAAATATTTTTATTTCATCAAAAATCTTTGGAATTAAGAATCAGATTTAAGTTTTGTCTCATTTCAAAGCTTTTATTAATTTTTCATTTTATTGCAAATTCTTCGTTCATTTAAGTGAAAATGTTCGTTGATTTCATTTTGACGAATCATTTTTCAATTTAATGTTTATTAATTTATGAAAGAAAATTCTTTTCAATATGTTTTGTTCAACAAAACTCATTTCAGTTCAATTTTTAACAATTCACAAATTTTATTAAATCGAAAAAACAAAAATATTCAAACAGGATTTTATCAAAGGCAAAATCAATTTATTTCGAATAATTTTTATTTGATTCAATTCAAATCACAAAAGTTTTGCTTTTCTTTTGTTTTGTAAAATTCAACAACAATCAACAACAGATAAAAAATTTAACATTTATTTATTCGAATTTCTTAATCAAAAGTATCAAAATGTCTTCTTCTTCAAATTTGATTCTATGTTTTTCGTTGATTTTCAACAATAAAACTTCACTTTTTCTTTTATTATCATTTCTAGATTGTTTATTTAACAAAAAATTATTTTTCTTTTTACAAAATCAAAATTCCATTTACAAAACTATTTCAAATTTTTCGATTCGATGATTATTATAATCAGCTACATAAAGATTTCTTTCATGATCAAAATATAAAGCCATGGGATGATCCAATTGATTTGATTGAATTCCTTTACCATTGCCACCAGCAACAATTTCACCTTCTTCTTTTCCTTCACGCCAACGCATTATTCGATGATTACAAAAATCTGCTACGTAGATTTGACCAAAATGATCAACAATTACTCCTTGAGGTGAAGACAGTTGGTTCAACTTTTCTCCTTTACCATTTCCTCCAGCCACAGCTCTTCCTTCTTTTGCATCTTTTCTCCATTTCATCACACGATGATTGTTTTGATCGGATATATAAACAGATTGTTCTTCATCAATAAAGATATAGGCGGGAAAATTAAGTTGACTAAGTTGATCACCTTTTCCATTTCCACCTGCAACTATAACCCCTTCGTTGTTGTATTCACCCAGTTTCCATCGTCTCACTTCATTCTTCATATTATCAGAAACATAGAGAAATCTATGTTTATCCATTGCCAAACCAAAACAGTCAATATTATCAATGAGAATATATTGATTTTGATTCACCCATTGAACTATTCGTCTATTTTGCCAATCAGCGATCATGATGGAATGATTTTGTTGATCAACAATCACATCTGTGGGATAATTCAACTGATTTATTCGATTTCCTTTGCCATTTCCACCTGCAATGATTTGTCCTTGTTTTCCATTATATTTCCATTCAACAATACGATGATTATAATAATCAGCAATGAAGATATTTTTGTTTTTATCAATAAAGATTCCTTCAGGGTGATAGAGTTGATTTAATTTCTCTCCATATCCATTTCCACCAGCTACAGTGATGGCATTTCGTTTCCATTTGTTGAGTTTTAATTCTAAAATAGAATGAAAATAAAAGATTTTGATAGAAAGAGAAACAAGAAGAAATAATATTGAAAAGGAGAAAAAGAAATCTTTTAGAAAATTTCTCAATAACAACAATGATTTTAATTGAAAAGTTTGTATAAAATAAAAGAAATTTTATCTTTTACTAACCGTTAATGTCACATTCATGAAGCTTTTATCGATAAAGTTTGAAAACTCAAAAAGTAGATTTTAATTCTGAATACAAAATTGATTTTATCTCGATTTGTTTTTTTATTCTTTGTATATTGGATATATATGTTGATGTGATATAAAAAATTGAATGATAAAATATAATATTTATCTTTCAATATATTTCATTTTCGATATAAACAGAAAAATGAAACATCACATTTGCTAATAATCGCAAACTTTTTTCTATTATGTGAGTATCACATAGATTCTATCGAATAACTTTGTCTTCTAATAATCTATTAGTTTTAAATAATTAAGAAAGCAAATGATAATTTATTGTGATCATTATAAAATTTGACTTTTTTTCTTTAAAACAATAGAAAAATATCTCCTTATTAATTATTTGACTTCTTTTAGAATAATTAACAAAAGTTGAAGATAATACAATTTTGCTGTTATCAATAAAACAGCTTTTGAAACTTCGAAGAAAAACTTTTTTAGTTAACTTTTATTTCATATCTTATTATTCTTTTCTTTATCATCACTTTTCTTTGTATTACAGTTCTTCAACACAAACTCATAGAACATCTGAATTTTTCTCTTAGGAATTATTTCGTAAACTTACTTTTTTCTAATGAGATAATTGGAATATCATTAGTAAATGGTTGGAAATCTAGTTGAATAGAAGTCGTTGGTGGATTATTATATTCTTCTCTAATTTTTAGTAATTCAGTTCTTAAATAATTCAGATTAATCTCATTAAATTCATTTTCATTATGAAATTGTTTTATTTGTCCATTTAAATCACTAAATTTCATTTCAATATCATTCAAAAATGTTTCTGAAGATTTAATGACAATTTCTCTAGAATCTTTTGCTTTTTGCTTAATTTTGTCAATCGAATCTAATTCCCATTGATTAATTTGATCTATTAATGAAAGATCGTGCAAACTGGGTTTTTGCTCATTAAATATTTGTTTAAATTGATCATAATCATTAATAATATGGTGTAATTCATGATTCAATATTTGACGATGTCTTGTTAAATCCATTAGACAAAAGTTTTTCAAACATCCATCACAAAGATATGTTATTTTATCTTTGTTACATGTAAAACATTGAGTTTTGTTGGTTGTCATTGCCACGTCTTTGAACATAAATATATACAAGAAATAAATGTTTGCTTACGTACTTTTCTAGATGTAAACTCAATAATTCATTGATAATAAAAACATTGTTCAGTAGTAACAGAAACTTAAAAAGAACTTTTTTCTACAACAAAATCTTGCTGATAAAACTGATATGCTTTTAATTTCAAATAAAAATTCTAACAATTCTAGTGATGTTTTTTTCCATGAAAGAATGTTCTGATGCTGATTTTGATGTAGTGGAAGATTAAACGTAGATCGTTATTCTCGAAATGGATGATATATTAATCTCTACTTCACTCAAGTACATCGTCATGTTCTCATTTTTATATTATATTTCAAAAGACTAACTTACCAAAATGAAAGTATATAAAAGAATTGAATTTTTAAACTTGTGATATTTTGTAATTATTTTGATATGAATCAGAATTTCGTCTATACTACTACTTGTAAGAGAATAAATAAATGATTCGTTCTCTACATTAACCACATACATGATCACATGGTATTTTCTTCCATATATAGTCATATAGTATTTTTTTCGTTTTCTTTATTATAATTCGCTCCTCTTCTGTTCTTTTGACTTATATCGAAATGTGTTATTTCTAAGTTATGAACAAAGGACTATCACACAAGTATCTTGTCAGGATATATTGTATTGTAGAGATGAAAATATATAAATAATTGCGTTTTCTTTTGAAATCAACAAACTATTACTATGCTTTCAAACATCATTTTTTTCTTGAACCTTCGATAAGACTGTAACATCACCTTTAATTTCTCTTTTATCGATTAAATTCTTCTAACTATCTTGTAAAAGAACAACATATGGTGTTTCATATGTTTATTTTCACCTATATATTAGATTTGAAAAAGAAATGTGACAAAACATTTCAAGTCAAGAAAAATAACAAAAAAACTCGTTTTGATTTTGGTGAAAACAGAATTTTAGTCTTTTATAACAAAACAACATTGAACGAATCGACCGTGAATAAAATGGAGAAAAATAAGATTTTTCATAGTTTTATTTTATTAATTAATGAAATTAAAAATCTTAAATAATTTTTTCAACAAAAGAAAACCTATCACAAATGAAAATATTGATACACATAATGATTTAATTGAAAAAGAAAAACTATATTAGATTGAAATATATGCAAGATAAAATATTTTCGAATATTCTTTATATTTCCTTTTATTGATTATCAGAATTGTTTTGGAATTTAAATAAATATAGAAAAAAAACGCCTTTTTCTTCGATATTTTGTTTTTGAAATTTAATTGAAATTATGTTTCAATTTATTTTAATTTTATGTTTAATTCATATTTTACATATGAAAATAATAATTAAAATTGACTTTATTTTTTAATAAAAATTTTATTTAATCAAAAAGAAGTTCTATAATTTATTACTGGATTTTTTTACATATCAGCATTGTTTTTTCTCAAGTATAATTTAATGAAAACAATGAATAATTTGATTCTTCAAAATATAATCAATACTCTTCTCGATAAATTTATCAATTAGAAATTTATCAGATAAGAATCTAAATATTGAAATATTTATTAATCTGTGTCGTAATTTTCATTCTATATAAACTAATAATTGAATTTTTGTCTCTTAAACTTTCAAATTAATGGATATGTTTATTAATCTTCATCAACTGATTAAAAGTGACTAAATTTCATACTGAACTCAATCGTGAGCTGGTTCTACTAAAAATGAACGTTCCTGTTCGGTGTCTGTGTTGTATAAACCTATGTTTTTTAATCATTTCAATAACATAAACCGTTGATAACATTCAACGAACGATAAATTTTGATATAAATGATAGAAAAACGCTTCTTTTCAAAGAGATATCCTGTGGTACATATACACGACAATAACGATGAGCTTCGAGTTTCTCAGAAATAAGTGGGTTTTCTTTCTCAACTGTAGAGGGTGCAGGTGTGAGTGTGAGAGGAAGACATGATTATTACCTACACCCTGACGTTCAACTGTCACCCTCACATCTAAATACCCATTGCTGTAGTGTTGAATAGAAGAGAATGAAATTTCAAGAAAAGGAAATGTGTCATAGAAAAAGTACATTGCACAACAAATGCGTAATAAAAAGCTCCGAACGAGAAAAAAAACACGTCAGCCAAGATTCTCTATATAAAGTTGCAAAACACAAGTTGATTTTATGCAACTTTCTTGAATTTTAAAACTACATACTCTGACCGGCTTATTTATTGGTGTGATATATTAGAGGCCTCTAAGTTTTCAGTTAAAATTTGACATTAGTTTAGTGCAGTTTAATTGTTCGAAATGAGTGGTAATGGTAACGATAATAATGAAATCATGGAGTTTCCATCAAAAAAAAAATGATTTAAACGAAACTGTACTCGACTTGGTTGGAATAGATCAGCCCTTTATGGAGACTTTTTATTATTCCATGTTTTTAGATTGTGTGAACGCGTTCGGAGCATATAATCTTGGCGTTGGGCGTTTGGAACTGTCAAGAGTCGTTGGTAGTTTATTAAGAATTGCTAGCTTCACAGGGCAAAAGCCAACAGATATGGATTATTCTAGAATACAACATTATACGACTTCGAACAAAATAACCGAAAACAAGAAAAATATTACCAATAGAATATTTAATTTAATGATTTATGGTATTGACACAGGCAAAGACAATAATATAGAATCCACTGTGACTAGACTTGGTTATGACAGAAGTGACTTATTTCAATCTACTAAATTATCTGTTTTATTGAAAAGAAATGCTTTAAACTATTTTTACTCATATTTTTCAAATCTCGAACATGTCGATATCGTGGGATATGTGTCTCTAAAACGATCTCGATCGGTTTCGTGGAAGCAATAAATGTGTGTGGGTGTAGAAAAAGAGGGAATAACCAGATCCAGACTCAGACCCACATCGATAATTTTCATTTGATTGAAACTCTTTGAAGTTAACAATTAAATTTGAATTTTGTATCACTTCAAAACTTTTATTAATTTTTGTTCACTTTTCTTTCTTCATTTATACGAAAATTTGTTCAACAATAACCATTTCAATTCGATTTTTATGATCAGTTTTGAAAAAAAGAAAACCAAAAATATTTTTCTTCAAGTTTTATTCGACTTTTTTTCATTAATTTTCAAAAATAAAACTTCACTTTTTCTTTTAGTTTTACTTATCGATTTTTTATTTAACAAAAAACTATTTTCTTTTTACAAAATCAAAATTTTATTTACAAAACTATTTCAAATTTTTGAATTCGATGATTTGCACAATCAACAACATAAAGGTTTCCTTCATTATCAAAAGATAAATCAAAGGGACGATTCAATTGGTTTGATTGATTTCCTTTACCATTTTCACCAACAACAATTTCACCTTCTTCTTTTCCTTCACACCAGCACACTATTCGGTTATTTCCACTATCTGCCACATAGATTTGACCCAAATCATCAACAATGACCCCATAAGGATAAGACAATTGATTGAGATTTCCTCCTTGGCCATTTCCTCCAGCCACAACTATTCCTTCTTTTGCACCTCTTCTCCATCTCATCACACGATAATTGTATCTATCTGATACGTAAAGAGATTGTTCTTCATCAATAAAGATAAAAGTAGGAGAATGGAGTTGATTGAGTTCATTTCCTTTTCCGTTGCCACCTGCTACTACGATCCCTTCGTTGTTGTATTCACCCATTTTCCATCGTCTCACTTCATTCTGCTTCCAATCTGAAACATAAAGAAATCTATGTTTGTCCATTACCAAGCCAAAACAGTCGATATTGTCAATAACAATTTGTTGATTTTGATTCACCCACTGAACTATTCGTCTATTCACACGATCAGCAATGATGATCGAATGATTTTGTTGATCAACAATTACATCTGCTGGATGATTCAATTGATTTAGTCGATGTCCTTCCCCATTTCCACCTGCAATGATTTGTCCTCGTTTTGCATTATGTTTCCATTCAACAATACGATGATTCAGATAATCAGCAATAAAAATATTTTTGTTTTCATCGATAAATATTCCTCCAGAGCCATTGAATTGATTTAATTTTTTTCCTTCTCCATTGCCACCAGCCACAGTGATGGCATTTTCTTCCCATTTGTTGACGTTTGATTCTAGAAAATGATGAAAACAAAAGATTTTGATAAGAAGAAGAAGTTTATTTTGTTTTTCTAATTTATCAAGAACTTTAATATAATTCAATTTTGTTGTTATCAATCAAACATCTTTTGAAACTTCGAAGAAAAAGTTTTTTAGTTAACTTTCATTTCGTATCTTATTATTCTTTTCTTTTACATACAAATATGTTTATTGTTCTATCTATATTAATACTATTGTTACTGATTTAATTAAGAAATAAATCAAGAATATTCTCCATTTTTTTCCTTCTTCATCATTCTTTTTGTACTACAGTTCTTCAACACAAATTCATAGAACATCTCAATTCTTTCTTTTTAGAAATTATTTATTAAAAACTTACTTTTTTCTAATGAAATAACTAGAATTTCATCAGTAAATGGTAGAGAATCTGGTTGAATAAAAGTCGTTGGTGGATTATTATATTCTTCTCTAATTTTTATTAATTCAGTTCTTAAATATTCTAAATTAATCTCATTAAATTCATTTTCATTATGAAATTGTTTTATTTGTTCATTCAAATCATTAAATTTCATTTCAATATCATTCAAAACTGTTTGTGAAGATCTAATGACGTCTTCTATACAATCTTTGGCTTTTTGTTTAATTTTGTTAATTTCATTTATTTCCCATTCATTAATTTGATCTATTAATGAAAGATCACGCAAACTGGGTTTTTGTTCACTGAATATTTGTTTAAATTGATCATAATCATTAATAATATAATGTAGTTCTTCATTTAATAGTTGACGATGTTCTGTTAAATCCATTAAACAAAAGTTTTTCAAACATCCATCACAAAGATATGTTATTTTATCTTTATTGCATGTAAAACATTGTGTTTTGTTGGTTGTCATTGCCACGTCTTTAAATATAAATATATACAAGAAATAAATATTTGCTTACATACTTTTCTAGATGTAAACTTAATAACTGAGTACTAATGAAAACATTGTTCAATAGTAAGAGATGATGTGCTTTTAATTTGAAACAAAAATTTCAATAATTCTAGTGATGTTTTTTCGATGAAAGAATGTTTTGATATAGATTTCGATGAAGATGCAACATAGATCGTTACCTTTGAAATGGATCAGATATCGATTTCTTATGCACTCAACTGTATTGTCATGTTCATTTTAATCTACTCTTACAGTTATCATCATCAATCTCATTCTCAAGATAGTTATTATGAAATATTCTTTTTTGCTCATTTTTATATTGTTTCAAAAGACTAACTTACCAAAATGAAACTATTTCAAAGAATTGAATTGTTAAACTTGTGATATTTTGTAATTATTTCGATATGAATCAGAATTCAGTTTATACTACTTTTAAGCAAACAAATAAATGATTCGTCCTCTACATTAACCACATATATGATCATATGGGTATTTTTCTCTTTTTTTATATATGACCGTAACATATATTTACTGTTCTGTGATGTCTATCGAAATGTGTTATTTCTAAGTTATAAACAAAGGAATATCACACATAGCTATTTTCCCAGAATATATTGAATTGCAGAGATGAAAAGAACACAAGAAATAACCACTGCTCATCGTATAAATATTCGTGTGTTCTTCTTGAATCAACAAACTCTTGCTACGCATTCAAACATTATCTTTTTCTTCAATTTTTGACTAAACTGTAACATCACCTTTAATTTCTCTTTTATCGATTAAGTTCTTCCAACTATATATTTGATTTAAAAAAAGAAAACCTATCAAAATAAATAAGTAAAATATGGTCAAATTTAATTGCAAAGACGAAAGTATTATATACATCTTAGCATCGCTACATAATAGAAGTTTGATCTATTCGGTTTTAAAAGATTCACTATGAAAAGCTCTAGAAAAATGGTGATACTTAATATCTGTTTTCAAACATAAAACTCTCAATTTACATAAACGTTTTATATTTTATTTTTGAGAACAAAAGATATTCTTCCATACCTACATGTATTCCTGACAAACTAATTTGAAAAGTTTCAGAAAATATATTTTATCATGAAACTTAATTATTTGGTTAAATGTATATCAACTTTAAGTAATTTTAATCTAAGAATAAATATTTTTTCTGACTCATTACAATATTTCAGCAAAATCTTTTTATTCAAAGATCAAAACAAAGAAAATGTTTCTTTGAAAAATAAAACAAATCTCCTTTGAAGTTTTATTCAAAAAAGTCAAATACAAATATTTTTATTTCATCAAAGATCTTCGAAATTAAAAACCAAATTTCATTTTGTCACATTTCAAAGGTTTTATTTATTTTTCATTTTATTTCAAATTCTTCGTTCATTTTTCTTTTGAGATTCTTTTTTTCTATTTTCATTTAAATGAAAATTCTCATTAATCTATTTTGAAATTTCAAATAAAATTTGTTTTCATTGATTTCATTTTCTTGAAATTTTATTTTTCGATTTTTCAATTAACAAAACCTTTTTTTTCTTTTTTTCAAAATCAAAATTACATTCACAAAATTATTTTCATTTTTTGCATTCGATCATTTCCCGGTTTAGCAAAATAAAGATTTCCATCATCATCAAAAGATAGATGATCGGGACAATTCTGTTGATTTGATTGATTTCCTGCACCATTTTCACCAACAACAGTTCCACCTGCTTCTTTTCCTTCACACGAATGCATTGCTCGATGATTTCCACGGTCTCCCACGCCGATGCGACCGAAATGATCAATAACTACTCCTCGAGGTTTAGATAATTGATTAAGATTTCCTCCAGCAACAATTGTTCCTTCTTTTGCATCTTTTCTCCATTTCATCACACGATGATTGTTCCAATCTGATACATAAACAGATTGATCTTCATCAACAAAGATAAAAGTAGGACGATTAAGTTGATTAAATTGGTTTCCTTGTCCATTTCCACCTGCCACTATAATACCTTCATTGTATTCACCCATTTTCCATCGTCTCACTTCATTCTTCTCACGATTAGAAACATAAAGAAATCCATTTTTGTCCATTGCCAAGCCGTGACAGTCAATATTGCCAATGAGAACTTGTTGACTTTGATTCAACCATCGAATCACTCGCCTGTTCCCTTGGTCAGCAATGATGATGGGCTGATTTTGTTGATCAACAATTACATCTGTTGGATTATTCAATTGATCCATCCGATTTCCTTGCCCATTTCCACCTGCAATGATTTTTCCTTCCTTGGGATTAGGTTTCAGATGAAAAATACGATGATTCAACCAATCAGCAATGAAAATATTTTTGTTTTTATCAATAACGATTTCTTTAGGACGATCGAGCTGATCTAATTGTTGTCCCTCTTCATTTCCAGCAGCCACAGTGGTGGCATTTTGTTTCGATTTGCTGCAGTTTGATTCTAGAAAATGATGAAAACAAAAGATTTTGATAAGAAGAAGAAGTTTATTTTGTTTTTCTAATTTATCAAGAACTTTAATATAATTCAATTTTGTTGTTATTAATCAAACATCTTTTGAAACTTCGAAGAAAACGTTTTTTAGTTAACTTTCATTTCTCATCTTATTATTCTTTTCTTTTACTAACAAATAAATTAAATTGTTCATTTAAGTTAATATTATATTGTTATTGATTTCATTAATAAATAAATCAATAGCATTTTCGATTTTTTTTTCTCTAGTTTTTACAAACTTACTTTTTTCTGATGAAATAATTGAAATTTCATCGATAAATGGTCGAGACTCTTGTTGAATAGAAATCTTTGATGGATTATCTAATTCTTCTCTAATTTTTATTAATTCATTTCTCAAATAATTCAAATTAATCTCATTAAATTCATTGTCACTATGAAATTGTTTTAGTTGTTCATTTAAATCATTAAATTTCTTTTCAATATCATTCAAAAACGTTTGTGAAGATTTAACGATAATTTCTATGCAATCATTTGCTTTTTGTCTAATTTTTTCAATTGAATTTCTTCTCCATTGATTAATTTGATCTATTAATGAAAGATCATGTGAAGTCGGTTTTTGTTCACTGAATATCTGTTTAAATTGATTATAATCATTAATAATATGAAATAATTCATCATTTAATATCTGTTTGTGCTCTGTTAAATCCTTAAAACAAAATCGTTTTGAACATCCTTCACAGGAATATGTTCTTTTTCTCTTATTACATGTAACGCATTCGTTTTGATTGTTTGTCATTGCCACGTCTTTGAATATAAATTTCTAGAAGAAATGAATAATCTATTTATCTAGACGTAAATTTAATAACTCAATGATAATAAAAACATTGTTCAGTAGTAAAAGAAATCTTAAAAGAAGTTTGCCGTACAACAAAATTCCACTGATAAAACTGATGTGCTTTGGCTTTCAAATAAAAATTCAAACAATTCTGTGATATTTTTTCAATGAAAGAATGTTTTAACGTAGATTTGGATATAGTTGAAGATTAAGCATAGATTTGCACTCATAACTTTACTCTCGAAATGGATGATATATTAATCTTTTATCCATCCAACTGCATCGTTATCTTTATTTTCATCCAGTCTCACTGTTATCATTATAATGACTTTCGTTCTCTAGATAGTTATTGTATGTTATTCTTTCTTGTTCATTTTTTATTCTATTTTTTATATTATTTCAAAAGATTTACTTACCAAAATAAAGTATATAAAACAATTGAATTGTTGAACTACTGATGTTTTGTAATTATTTCGATATGAATCAGAATTCCGTCTATACCACGTTTAAGCAAATAGATAAATTATTCGTTCTCTACATTAACCATATATATGATCACATGGTATTATTTTTTTCTTTATTATAATTCGCTCTTTTCTGTTCTTTTGATTTATATCAACATGTGTTATTTCTAAGTTATGAACAAAGGAATATCATCCAAGTATTTTCTCAGGATATGTTGTGTTGCAGGGATATAAATAGTCGAAGAAAAAACCACTGCTCATCGTATAAATACTCGTGTTTTCTCTTTAAATCAACGAACTATCACTTCCATTCTTTCAAACATCCTTTTTTTCTTCAACCTTCGATAATATTGTAACATAACTTTTAATTTTTCTTTTATTGATTAAACTTTTCTTACTATATATTTGATTTGAAAAAGAAAAAGTATCGAAATAAAATATGATCAAATTTAATTGCAAACACGAAAGTATTATATATATCTCAGTATCGATACATAATCGAAGTTTGATCTTTTCTCTTTGAAAAGGTTCAATATGAAAAGCTCAGAAAAATGCTGATACTAAATATCTGTGATGACTGAAACTAATGATCTATTTTATAATCAAAATAAAACCATTTCTCATCGTCTTGAACATGATAAAATATGTTCGAAAAAATATATATATGTGGAAATTAGATATTTATAATGATTAAATTTCGTGATAATCATCAATATTTAATATAAATCAATTTAATTGTTTAAATTAAAAAAGATAAACAAATCAAATATATTTATTTATTAAAATTTAGTAAAACAATAATAATTGAAAAATCAACAATAATATTATTATTGATATATGATTTAAAATAAACTTCAAATGTTATCAATACTAACATGATGAAAGATTCTATGAAAACGACATTTCTTGAGATTTTTAATATTGAAAAACAAATATTTATTAGCCGATGTGAATATCGATAGAAGGAAAAAAACGTAATATTAAGATTGAATATGATGATCTTAAGAGTGGAAGTAATATGTGATATGTTCTGGTTAAATAATTTAATATATAAAATCAATAAGAATTTTTAATAGAGAAGTAGAAGAATCGATTTTGTATGTTAGCAATTGAATTAAATTTAGTAGATGAATTATGAAATGATAATAAAATATGTTGAAAAATTTCAACAGAAAACTTATCAAGAAATAGAAGAAATTTTAATAACAAGTTTTCTATAATAGATATAACCTGTTATTTGAATATTAAATTCGTTCTTGTTGAAAGTATTAATAAATCTTTATTCAATCATATATGTATACGTATTAATATTTTTTCTAATAATGAATTGTCTATATTTTACATATATTTATTTTTTAAATAAAACAATGTCAATTCATTTTCTTATGTGTATTATTATTTAAGTTGAATATCTATGATTACATTTATTTAATAAATTATTATAAAATAACTTTGTATTTTGTCTGTAATTCTCTTGTTTTGCTTTTATTGTTCAACATACTCTATGAATCTCTTTTCAAACATAAAACTCATTTTACATAAATGTTTTATATTTTATTTTTGAGAACAGAAGATGTTGTCTTGTAGCCACATATATTCTTGACAAACTAATTTGAAAAGTTTCAGAAAATATATCTCATCATGAAACTCAATTATTTGGTTAAGTTTTATTAGTTATAAATAATTTTAATCTAAGAATAAATATTTTTTTATTATTCATAAAATATTTCAAACTATTTATTCGATCATTTCTTCAACTAATCTAATGCTATTTTTTGTCAAAAAATTTACTATGAAATGTGAGTGTAAGTCAAGAAGTTGTGAAATATTTATTTTGATTTGTTTGAGAAATAAGACAAATCTCTTTTGAAGTTTTATTTAATGAAATCAGATGATAATATATTAGTGCCATCAAAAATCTATCAAATTTAAATTTTAAATCATCTTAGAACTTCTGTTACTTTTTATTTTATTTGAATTTCTTCGTTTTTTTGTCGAAATTCTTTTTCTTAATTTAAATAAAAAGCTTTTCAGTATTTGTTTTGTTCAGCAAAATTCATTTCAATGTGAGTTTTATTATCAACTTTTCATGAAATAGCTCTTTTTTCTTCAATTTTGAACAATTCTCGGATTTTATCAAATCGAAAAAACTAACAACATTTCATCTACTATGAAATTTTCTTTTCGAATAATTTTTATTTCAATTCAAATTATAAAAAATTCTTTTCTTTTCTTCAAAATCAAACTTTATTCACAAAACTATTTCAAATTTTTGAATTCGATCATCTCCACAATCAACAACATAAAGATTTCCTTCATTATCAAAAGATAAATCAAAGGGACGATTCAATTGATTTGATTGGTTTCCTTTACCATTCCCACCAATAACAATTTCACCTTCTTCTTTCCCTTCACACCAACGCATTACTCGATGATTCCACCAATCTGCCACATAGATTTGACCCAAATCATCAACAATGACCCCATAAGGATAAGACAACTGATTGAGATTTCCTCCTTGACCATTTCCTCCAGCCACAACTATTCCTTCTTTTGCACCTTTTCTCCATCTCATCACACGATAATTGTATCTATCTGATACGTAAAGAGATTGTTCTTCGTCAATAAAGATAAAAGTAGCAGAATGGAGTTGATTGTGTTCATTTCCTTGTCCATTTCCACCTGCCACTATAATTCCTTCGTTGTTGTATTCTCCCATTTTCCATCGTCTCACTTCATGCTTCTTCCAATCTGAAACATAAAGAAATCTATATTTATCTATTGCCAAACCAAAACAGTCAATATTCTTAATGAGAATTTGTTGCTTTTGATTCAACCATTGAATCACTCGTCTGTTATCATGATCAGCAATGATAATGGAATGACTTTGTTGATCAATGACCACATCTGTTGGGTGTTTTAATTGATCCATTCGATTTCCTCTACCATTTCCACCTGCAATGATTTGTCCTTCCTTTGCATTACATTTCCATTCAACAACACGATGATTTTCATAATCAGCAATGAAAATATTTTTGTTTTCATCGACAAAGATTCCTGCAGGACGATTGAGTTGATTTAATTCTTGTCCTTTTTCATTTCCACCAGCCATAGTGATGGCATTCTGTTTCCATTTATCCCATTTTAGTTCTAGAAAAGAATAAAAACAAACGGTTTTGATGAAAAGAAGAAGAAGAAAGAAAAGATTCATTTTGACTGAAACGTTAATAAATATATTTAACAAAGAGACAAATTATATTTTACTTCTCTAATTTATCAAGAACTTCAAAAAGTAAAATATCTAGAGTGATGAAATTCTACTAATATCTATTTATAAATTATTTGGTTTTTGTTAGAATAATTCACAAAGAATCAAACATCTTTTGAAGCGTTGAAGAAAAAATTTTTTAGTTAACTTATATTTCACATCTAATTATTCTTTTCTTTGATAAACAAATAAATTAAATTTTTTATTTAAGCTAATATTATATTGTTATTGATTTCATTAATAAATAAATCAATGGCATTTTCGATTTTTTTTCTCTACTTTTTACAAACTTACTTTTTTCTAATGATATAATTGAAATTTCATTAATAAATGGTCGAGAATCTTGTTGAATAGAAGTCGTTGATGGGTTATTTAATTCTTGTCTAATTTTTATTAATTCATTTCTTAAATAATTCAAATTTATCTCATTAAATTCATTTTCACTATGAAATTGTTTTAGTTGTTCGTTTAAGTCATTAAATTTCATTTCAATATCATTAATGCATGTTTGTAATAATTCGGTGACAATTTCTCTACAATTTTTTGCTCTTTGTTTAATTTTTTGAATCGAATTTATTTCCCATTGATTAATTTGATCTATTAAAGAAAGATCATGTGGACTGGGCTTTTGTTCACTAAATTTTTGTTTAAATTGATCATAATCATTAATAATATGATGTAATTCTTCATTTAGTATTTGACGATGTTTTGTTAAATCCATTAAGCAAAAGTTTTTCAAACATCCTTCACATAGATATGTTATTTTATCCTTATTACATATAACACATTGTGTTTTATTGGTTTTCATTGCCATCTCTTTGAGCATAAATTTCTAAAAAAAAAAGAATATTTGGTTATATACTTTTGTAGATATGAACTTAATGATGCAATGATAATAAAAATACTGTTCGGTAGTAAAACAAATCGATGTGTTTTTAATTTTATATAAAAATTCAAACAATTCTAGTAATATTTTTTCAAAATTGAAGATTAAACATAGATTTGTACTCGTAACTTTACTCTCAAAATGGATAATATATTAATCTCTACTTCGCTCAACTGTATTGTCATGTTCATTTTAATCCAGTCTTAAACTGTTATCATCACCACTCTCATTCTTAAGATAGTTATTTTTTATATTATTTCAAAAGCCTAACTTACCAAAATAAAACTATTTGAAAGTATTGAATTGTTAAACCTGTGATATTTTGTAATTATTTCGATATGAATTAGAATTCCGTCTATATCACTTGTAAGTGAACAAATAAAATATTCGTTGTTTACATCAACCACATATATGATTATATGGGTATTTTTCTCTCTTTTTTCATATGACCGTAACATATATTTACTGCTCTGTTGATGTCTATCAAAATGTGTTATCTCCCAGTTATAAACAACGGGATATCACACATAGCTATTTTCCCAGAATATATTGAACTGCAGAAATGGAAAGAACAGAAGAAATAACCACTGCTCATCGTATAAATATTCGTGTGTTCTTCTTGAATCAACAAACTATTGCTACGCTTTCAAGCATCATCTTTTCCTTCCATTTTTGACTAAACTGGAACATCACTTTGAATTCCTCTTTTATCGATTAAGTTCTTCTAACTATATATTTGATTTGAAAAAGAAAAACTATCGAAACAAATAAGTAAAATATGATCAAATTTAATTGCAAAGACGAAAGTATTTTATATATATGTTAGTATCGACACATAATAGAAGTTTGATCTTTTCTCTTTTAGAAGATTCACTATGAAAAGCTCTAGAAAAATGCTCTATTTTATAATCAAAACAAAACATTTTACATAATAATACGATTTCTCATCATATTCAACATAATAAAATATACTTGAAAAAATGATTTATTATAATAAAGTTTAAATAACATCAATATTGATATGAGAGATCCTATGAAAATGACATTCCTTGAGGAGTTTTAATATTCAAAAAGGAAATATTTATCAGTTGATATGAATATCAGCAGAAGAAAAAACTGAATACGGTGATCTTAAGAGAATAAGTGATGTGATATGTTCCGATTCAATAATTTGATATATAAAATCAATAAGAATCTTCAATAGATAAGTAGAAGAATCGATCGTATATGTTAGGAATTGAATTAGATTTCGTAGATAAATTATAAAATGATAATAAAATATGTTGAAGAATTTCGATAGAAAATTTATGAATAAATAGAAGAGATTTTAATAAGAAGTTTTCTATAATAGATTTCAATTCTGATTTCATACTATTTCTTGTAATGAATTAAAGCTATACAAATAAAAAATGTCGATTGATTTTCCTAAGTGTATTATTATTTAAGTTGAATATATATAATCAAAGTTATTATTTATGTCATTCAAATGTTGATATTAGTGGATATCGAAGATAATCACGCTGTGATTATTTTATTTGTAAGTCTGTTGTTTTGCTTTTATTATTCATCATATGTATGAAAACATATTTTATGAATCTTTTTTCAAACATAAAACTCTCAATTCACATAAATATCTTTTATTTTATTTTTGAGAACAAAAGATATTTTCTCATAGCCACATGTATTCTTGATAAACTATTTATTCTATTATTTCTTCAATTATTATAGTGCTATTCTTTGTCAAAAATTTTACTTTGAAATGTGAATGAAAGTCAAGAAGTTGTGAAAATAATACTTATACCTTTACGTGGTTTTCCTTTCTGAAATGAAAGGAACTTTTTATTTAACACAACTGAATTAAATACGATAAAAATATTATGAAATCAGATGAAAACATATTAATTCTATCGAAAATCTATGAAATCAACAATCCAACTTATTTTATCTAAAGGAGAATCTTTTCGACATTTGTTTTGTTCAACAAAACTCATTTCAATTCCAGTTTTATTATCAATTTTTCATAAAGTACTTCATTATTTTTGTCAAACACAAAATCTTCTTTTCGGATAACTAGTATTTTAATTGAATTCAAATTACAAAATGTTCTCTTCTCTTTATAAATCGACAATGGCCAGCAAAAAATAAAGAGTTTAACATTTATTTATTCGAATCATCCAATCGAAACTATGAAATTACATTCAAATCATTGTCTTCTTATCAACAATTTCTTTTTCAAACTTCATTCGAATTTCTCATTGATTTTCAACAATATAATTTTACTTTTTCTTTTAATTTTATTTATCGATTTTTTATTTAACAAAAAATTATTTCAAATTTTTGAATTCGATGGTTTCCACAATCAACAACATAAAGATTTCCTTCACCATCAAAAGATAAATCAAAGGGACGATTCAATTGATTTGATTGATTTCCATAACTATTTCCACCAACAACAATTTCACCGTCGTCTTTTCCTTCGTACCAACGCATTATTCGATTATTCCACCAATCTGCTACATAGATTTGACCCGAATCACCAACAACTACTCCTGCAGGTGACGACAATTGATTCCGGTTTCTTCCTTTACCATTTCCTCCAGCCACAATTGTTCCTTCTTTTGTATCTTTTCTCCATTTCATTACACGATGATTGTATCTATCTGATACATAAACAGATTGATCTTCATCAACGAAGATAAAAGTAGGAAAATTAAGTTGATTGAGTCGATCTCCTTTTCTATTTCCACCTGCCACTACAATTCCTTCGTTGTTGTATTCACCCATTTTCCATCGTCTCACTTCATTCTTCTTACAATTTGAAACATAAAGAAATCCATATTTATCCATCGCCAAACCAAAACAGTCAATATTGTCGATGAGAATTTGTTGCTTTTGATTCAACCATTGAATCACACGTCTGTTCCCACGATCAGCAATGATGATGGAATGATTTTGTTGATCAACAATCACATCTGTTGGATTATTCAATTGATTCATTCCATTTCCATATCCATTTCCACCTGCAATGATTTTTCGTTCTTTTGCATTATATTTCCATTCAATAATACGATCATTCCAATAATCAGCAATGAAAATATTTTTCTCTTTATCAATAAAGATTCCTGTAGGGCGATTGAGTTGATATAATTGTGGTCCTTGTCCATATCCACCAGCCACAGTGATCGCATTTTGTTTATATTTGCTAAATTTTGGTTCTAGAGAAGGATAAAAAATGAAAAGACAAATTCTGCTGAAAAAGTACATAAAACAAATGAAGTTTTGTGTTTGGAAAATTTTAATCGCCCAATAAAACTTACCTTTTGATAAAACAATTGAAACATCATTAGTAAATGATTGTCCATTTTGTTGAATAGACATATTTGATGGATTATTTAATTCTTGTCTAATTTTTATCAATTCATTTCTTAAATAATATAAATTAATTTCATTATATTCATTTTCTTTGTGAATTTGTTTTATTTGTTCATTTAAATCATTAAATTTCATTTCAACAGTATTAATATATGTTTGTAACGATTCAATGGCAATTTTTCTACAATCTTTTGCCTTTTGTTGAATTTTTTCAATTGAATCTACTTCCCATTGATCAATTTGTTTTATTAATGAATGATTATATGGATTTTGTCTTTGTTCATTAATTGTTTGTGTAAATTTTTTATATTCATTGGTGATATGATTTAATTCATTATTTAATATTTGACGATGTTCTGCTAAATCCATGAGACAAAACTCTTTTGAACATCCTGCACAAGAATATGTTATTTTATTTTTATTACATTTAAAACATTGTGTTTTGTTGTTTGTCATTGCCATGTGTTTGAATATGAATTTCTAGAAGAAATCGAAAAAGAAGTTTTCTTGTGACTACAATGATTAATTATTAGAAAATTCTACTGATAAAACTGATGTGATATCTATATCATCTCATCACCAAAGAAAACGTGGGATAAATACTGATTAAACACACATGAATACAAATGAAAGAAAAGAAACAAATATAAATATGATGATATTTTTCTCGTCTTTTTTTGTCCTCTTGAAAATAACCTTGATAAGCGATTTGTTTTGTCTCATCATTATTTGTGTAATGTAAAGTGGCTTTATATGATGACTTGATGTATCTGTTTTCTTTCTATTCTTGACAAAGAGAGGTAAACGAAGAAAAGAAATATATCAACATTGAATCATTTTTTGTTTCATTAATCTATGTCTGTATTTTCGAAACACATGTTCGTAACACGACAAAAAAAACAGTTAGTTAAAATGATTTTGCAATCTTACAAAAGTTAAATTTAAGTTGATTAATAAATATTGAATTAGAGATATTTCATACATTTCCAATAGTCTATCAAAACGAAGGATTAACAATAAAATCGAAGATAATATCAATAAAGCAAATAAAAACAATATCAGATTCTATTGAAAATATTCAATTCAGTAATTATCTTCACATCAATAACAATCTTTGATATATCACAAATCTGTTGATTTAACATCTTAGATTGTGCTGATGAAGAACAGTTTCGTCAATTAATCGAAGATATCATTCGAAACGAAAGCTTGATGTCACGTGTAACCGTTGAACAAGAATTCGAACGAATGTATCAAAAACACAAAATCTTCTTTCCAAATAGTTTTTATTTCAATTCAATTCAAATTATAAAATATTTTATTTTATTTTCTTCTGTAAAATTTAACATTTATTTATTCAAAGTTCTCATGGATTGTCAATAATAAAACTTCATTCATAAAATTGTTACAAATTTTTGAATTCGCTGATTAAAATAATCAGCAACATAAAGATTTCCTTCATCATCAAATGATAAACCACAGGGACCATTGAATTGATTTGATTGATTTCCTTTATCATTTCCACCAACAATAACTTCACCGTCGTCTTTTCCTTCACGCCAACGCATTATTCTATGATTTTCAAAGTCTGCCACATAAAGGTGTCCCAAATCATTAACAACTATTTTTTGAGGATTAGACAATTGATTGAGATTTTCTCCTTTACGGTTTTCTCCAGCCACGATTGTTCCTTCTTTTGCATCTTTTTTCCACTTCATCACACGATGATTGTTGCTGTCTGATATATAAACAGATTGATCTTCATCAACAAAAATAAAAGTAGGAAGATTTAGTTGATTGAGCCGACTACCGCTTCCATTTCCACCTGCCACTATAATTCCTTCGTTGTTGTATTCACCCATTTTCCATCGTCTCACTTCATTCCTAAGCCAATTAGAAACATAAAGAAATCCATACTTATCCATTGCTAAGCCACGACAGTCAATATTATTAATAAGAATTTGTTGCTTTTGATTTAACCATTGAATCACTCTTTTGTTACCATGATCAGCAATGATGATTGAATGATTTTGTTGATCAACAATCACATCTGTTGGACAATTCAATTGATCCAATCCCTTTCCTTGCCCATTTCCACCTGCAATAATTTGTCCTTCTTTTGCAATATATTTCCATGCAACAATACGATGATTATCATAATCAGCAATGAAAATCTTTTTCTTTTTATCAACAAAGATTCCTTCAGGGCCACTGAGTTGATTGAATTCTTGCCCTTTCCCATTTCCGCCAACCAAAGTGATTCCATTTTGTTTCCATCTGTTGAATTTTGATTCTAAAAAGGAATGAAAACAAAAGATTAATTTTGAAAAGAAGAGAAACGAAATTGAAATTGAGAAAAAGAAATATTTTAGAAATTTGTCAATAAAAAAATATAAATAAATTAAAAATGATTTAAAATATTTCAATTAGACATAAGTTTTATGGTTTAGTCTTTCTCATCAAAAATAACAAAAAAAACGAAACCATCCTAAGGGTGGTATGGGTGTGGGGTGTGATTGTAGATGCAGATGCTAGTAAGAATATGAGTGAGACTATGAAAACAGTACAACACCTACACCCACGCCCACTTTAATTTCACCCAAGTTACTCTATCTGTTATTCACTGGATACTATTCTAAGTATGTTCCTAGACGTGTATGCAAAGTACCGACTTTCGATTTAACTCTAACTTGAAATCGCAATTGCTCATCTTTAGCTTGAATATTTTTCTTTAATTTGTTGGATTCTTTTACTCGTAAAATGGTTTTCCATGGATCAGTTGAATACATTATGAAAAGCTATGCGAGATTGTGAACAGACACATTTGTTTCATCGTCTGTTAAAGGGTTAATTTAATACTGTTTTATATCTTAACATTCCTTTTTTTTATATACAAATAAGTTAAATTTTCTATTTCCACTAATATTATTTTTTAATGATTTAATTAATAGATAAATCAATAATATTCTCAACTGTTTTTTTTAATAGCTCTTCAACACAATATCATAGAAATTATTTTTTAAAAACTTACTTTTTGATACAATAAATGAAATTTCATTAATAAATGATTGTGAATCTTGTTCGATAGAAATATTTGATGGATTATTGAATTCTTCTGTAATTTTCATCAATTGATTTCGTAAATAGTTTAAAATAGTTTCATTAAAGTCATTTTCTTCTTGAATTTGTTTTATTTGTTCATTTAAATCATTAAACTTCATTTCAATATCATTAACAACTGATGGTGAATATTCCAGGACGCTTTCTCTCCAATTTTGTGCTTTTTGTTGAATTTTTTCAATTGAATCTATTTCCCATTCATTAATTTTTTTTATTAATGAATGATTTTGCGGATTTTCTCTTTGTTCATTAATCTTTTGTTTAAATTCATCATAATCATTAGTAATATGATTTAATTCTTGATTTAATATTTGTTTATGTTCTGATAAATCCATAAAACAAAATTCTTTTGAACATCCTTTACAAGAATATGTTATTTTTTCTTTCTTGCATTTAAAACATTGTGTTTTGTTGCTTGTCATAGCCATGTCTTTGAGTAGAATTTGGTAGAAGAAATGAATAAATATATTCTTCTTTACTTTTATGGTTCTAAACGTAATAACTCAATGACAATAAATGCATTGTTTGGTAGTAAAAGAAATCGAAAATGAATTCTTTGTTTATGACAAAATTCGACTAATAAAACTGATGTAATATCGTTTGAGAATGCAGTAGTGGTATATAATAAAAAAAATGGTCTCATTCACATTCACATTCAATGTAGAATATAAAACTTAACTATGTACTTTTTTATTTTTGAGATAAGAAAAAACAAGTTTCTATGCAATGAATTTTTATTGTCTCAAATGAAATCATCGTTTTTTTTACATAAAGAAGAAAAATATCTCTTTTTATTGTTTGGTATCCTTTTGAAAAGTAATAATAAATATACGCCAGTTATGTGAAACATTTCTTTTTGTTTTATTATTTAATCTATAAAATATACTGGTTTTTGAAAATTATTGAGTTTTTCATATGAAATTTTATCATTTAATATTGCATATTATATAATGAAAAGGTAAATTCAAAAATATTATTTCAATAAAAGCGTGAAAATTGTGACCTGCAAGAATAAATATATGTATGCATTGATATTTGAGATCTTCAATCTTTAAAAATCTTTCATTATAATCAAACAAAATGATTGTCATAGAAAATATTTTTTCGCGAAAACTTTTTTCTAAACATTTGAAAATATATTGAATGATGATAATATTAATGAATATAATTTAATTTTAGTCTTCAATGGAGTTTTTATTTAATGTTATACAGAATAATACAATTCTATTTCTAAATCAAATGTTAGATATTGATTAAATAAAAATTTCTAATAAAATTCTCAATCATACAACATAACTTGTTCATTATTATTTTCTACTCATATCAAAAATTAAACAGTAGATCTTTATTATAAATGAATCTTACGTAATCTTAGTAATTCATCTTTTTTCATATATATATTTTCTATGGTCTTTCGTATTCAGATTTGTATGACTAAATTTATTTCTAATCTGATAGTATCTATTAGAGCTTGAAATCACATTATTTATACATTCTACACATGTGAATATACATCAAAATCGATAGTTCTATGTATGTGTTTTATCAAAGATCAAATGTAGAAAAATATTGATTTGAATTTTTCAAATAATGAACAATTAAAATCTTTTGAATAAGAATGAAATAAAAATAATATTCACACATGAACTTTCAGTTTCCGTCTATATCACATAGTAAAATAACTTGATCTCGAAAATGTGAATGAGAACAATAATGAATATATCATACATTCATCTTATTATTGTTTGACTTTATTTTCATGTTTGTTATTAATATTGTGCACATAATCGTAACATATAAGAATGGCAGTAGTAGAGAACAATTTGATAGTCATATTCTTATTGTTTTTAATTTTGCTAATTTAGTGATGAAGATTTTAATTGATTTAAATATTTATTCAATCTTTTTAAGTTACAATAAGAAAATATGTATTCTAATATGAGTATGAGTTCATTCAAGTTCTTTTATGTATGATTAATCAATAATAGAAAAATAGAAGATTTTCTTGAGGGTGTGGGTGTGAGTGTGGGTGGGTGGGTGGGTGAGTATATGTGAGCGTGTAGCTCAAAGTGACTACTCTAGATGTGAAGCTGGAG